GACAAACCGTTAGTTTTCTATACAATAACGGAAAATTTGCATGCAACTTTGTGCATTTACACAAACAGCAACCACTTGTATGCTTTGCTTTTGGCTTATGTCAATAAGACATGCAAGTTTGTCGCTGCAATTTTTTTTCGATTGGTAATCTAATCGCGCGAGTTGACATATACAGTCATACACAAGTATAACTGTGTTCATAGCAGCAACGCATGCGCGAATGCATACCTTCAAGTGCGATTAAATTGCATGTCGTTACCTGCAACATACGAATTTTGCAACTTTGCAACAAAATATGTATGCAATACACCGAAATACACGCTGGATTTGCATATGATGACAAGATATTACATCACATTTGCATATAATAAACTATATGCGAATTCAGGAAAGTGAAAAATTTTAATTAAAATTTCAGAAATATATTAAAAAATTCAAAATTTTTGTGTTTGTTAATATGTTGTTATTTTTAATATCAAAACGAGTAGCTCATACCAATTTTGTACACCTAAGAAATTAATGGATGAATGCCTTATAAGGCGACTTTAAGCTTCAACAGTTCATTGGTTTTATAGCGTATCGCTCAAGCCTAAAGTGTTATAAACCAACTTTAAGACACTATATATGTATGTCATCATATGTCTATATATGTAAAATCGGTGTAATACCTTCGTAATCACTCCTAACACTCCAGAAAAGCAAAACTGTTTCATGACCGCCTCTCAAAAATAACGATATATATCTCCTTTACTTTAACAGAATATACTCTATTACAAAATTCTCTAGAAACCAAATACCCAGTGTTTAAATGAGTTTAAACTCCCTCCTTCAAGTGCACCACTCTACTCGGGAAAAACTGACACACCCTAGTGAAACACACCACACCTGTGAACACTCAAGGAATTTCACCCCACACCAGATGACACCACACAGGACAACACAACATACCATTTCATTCTCTTATCGTCTACGGGCCTGAGCGCCACATCATCATTCGCATATACACCTGATTCGACAAGGTAGGGATCTTACGCGCAACTGTTCGTTGACAACTGTTGGACATCGATACCTCCTGATTTTGATCGCCATCATCCGAAAGTCGTTTCGCAGAATTGTTACTTTGCATAAACATTGTTGTTATAATTTTAAATAAACTTGTGGTTTAACCGAAATGGTCAAAATACTAAGTTCAACGGAAACTTTTATTTTTAAAATTTGAATAGAGTGGGAAAGGTATGTGCTTCCCGATAAACTTGTTAAGCAAATAATCACCCAGGACATTGTCTTTGCACACCAGACATTCGCAAACTATTTGAATTGCAGCGAATTGAGTCATATCTCGCTAGTGACAACATTTGTGCGCTACTTGCTTGAAAAATTATTTAGCATGCGCTGAAAAGAGTTGTTTCGACAATAGCACCATCTACCGTTGGCAACCAAATTTCAATAAAAGCTGTGCTGCAGCTTCACAAAACCATATTTATGCACACCTTTTAAGATATGCTGGTAATGTAAACCGTAAATATTTACCTAAAAGTGTCAAATTGGTGTTGTTGTATTTGAGTAGAACCGCCAACTGCATATTTGACCTGAATACTTGGCAAAAACCAAGTCACTCCAAATGAGAAAGGTCAAGCGCCGGCAGCTGGCTTAGCGCGCCGCATCAACAAGTGTTGCATAGAGTTGTTGCACTGGCTGTAAATTAAAAAAAACTACTAGTAATGACAACAACAATGTTATGTTAAACAAAGCAACCATGACCACCAGCAATTTCAACGATGATGCTACAAAATTGCCTATGCGGTGTTTGTGGTTGCTGATCAACGCGCCATAGACTGCTAGTCACACACACACACACACACACATGTATCTTTAATGTATACATATATTATATATAAATAGATATTTGTGCAGCTGAACTTGCGCTGTAGCGGTGTGTGGCAACAACATATTCACCAAGCGGCAATAATAATCTAAGCTGCAACAACAATGCCAAAAGAGCATTTTTTCGGTCATTAACTTGGCGCGCACAAAGCGAAGAATACGAAGCGACTTTGGCCACTGAAAAATGGGTAGCGCAGAAGCGACAACAACATAGTGATTGATCAAGCCAACGAAACACATATTTGCAGTGTGGCATACTGGTTGCAACTGAGCCGTTTGCCACTTAATGAAAGACAAATAATAAAAACGAGACAAAAAGTGTAATGTATTAATGAAAATCTGCAAACACTTACAACACAAGTATGCTAACAACACTACTGCATATGCAAATTCACTCAAGACAACGCACGCGCATGCGCACACACACACACACTCACTACCAGTTAGATCCAAAGAAGGGAAATTCATTTCCCGCCGTCACCAACGTTGGTGCGCCGTTGTTGCCGCTACTGCGACTGCCATGGCAGGTCAGCGCATGCCACAAGTGGCAACAACGCTGAATAACCGTGAAGTGTTCATTGATTGAATAGATGGAAAAACAACAACTGCAGCATCATCTGCAACTTCTTCTCCATCATTCGTTGTAAGTTTCGATCGCGCCAATGACGTCGGGTGCAACATTTAATGTTTGTTGACGGCTTCCACGCTCTGACTGTGCCCCGCAAGCGCAACGACTCCGCTCAGCTGGTGCCGTGCAACTCGTACTTAAGTGGTAAAGTGTTTGCTTAGCTTTTTATTTTTCACTTAATGTTAGAAGTTGTTGCGTCTTCTAGCCAATTTTTGGCGTTTCATTGTTGTTGTTGTACACTATAATGCTTTGTTTATATTTTAGCTGGTTTTTGTTTACTTAACCCACTTGAGTTTGAACTTTGTTGCGCGAATTTTATTGCGCGCCAGTTTGCCAAGTTGGAGTTGCTCGTTTGCTTGGTTTCTCCAAGTTAAATGTTTACTTAGTTTAATTGTTTCTATTGTATGTTTTTTATTGCTTTTTTCTTGTGCGAATGTGTGTGTACTCTGTGCTGCAGCAACGGCATTGTCATTAGCTTTGTTGACCTTTACGAAAATGCTAGACTAGAAATTCCCAAATTTTCCAATTTTCGCAGCGTTAACTTTAGCATCAAATCTCATATTTTTAGAATCAATCGTTAAAATTGGTGAACAAAATATTACTTTGGGCTCTGAAAGTTATCTTATTTATCACTTTGCGAAAACCGCAGCTACTTGTATCTACTAAAAAATGTATCTTTATTAAGAGACCCGACATCCCCGATAAATAATATTTGTTTTGTGAGTGACGGCCGAGTCTCTTTATTAAACTTTTTTACTGATTATTCTCCACAGGTAAATTATTTTAAGCATGATTGAAACAAATTCTCGTCTAACAAACAAGCATTTTCATAAAAATTTAAAGAGTGCAATTAAAAAATATGAAGGATTTGATATTACAGTGATTCTCCAGACCTATACGCATCCTGGTTCATTTTTTGTTCAGTTCAAGCTGTGCATAATACTAGCCGATAAAAGCATTGTCCAGAAATAATTAATTCTGGTTCTAGCGACTCTTTTAAGTACTATAGTATTAGTAGATAGTTACAGAGATCTTTATTATGTATACTAGCTGACTCAATAAACCATCGTTGGTATTTTCCTTATCTACAATATTTTTTCTTATATTTCTATTCGCATATTTTCCATGTATTAAGATAATTTTCATATTAATTTATAAATTAATCGTTCTAACATTTTAGTAATTACTCCATTGTTTAGATGGAAAAAATTAAAAATCAATCTCTTGAGTTATGCTGTAAGCAGGATTATGGATTTTTTAATTTTTAATTGCAAAATCAGAATTAAAAATTTGGATTTTTAGTTCCAAACATCTTTGATTAAATATTGATAAAATATTATTCGTTTGAATGTGTAAGTTTTTCGACCACAGCTCTAGAGTATTGAAGATGATCACTCTGTGTAAGCTCTAGTTCAAAATGGTATAACACGAAGTAAGCAAACGCCAAAAATGGGAATTATAAAACAATTTCCTTTTTTCAGCTTTAATCTTATGTGTTTGATTAAATTTTTTTGGGATTAAAAAAAATATATATATGTAAAAAATTTTTTTTTTAAATAAAACATTTTAATAAAAATTAAAAAAAAAAAATTTTAATGTTTCAAAATAAAAAAAACATAGTTGAAATGTTAGTTAAATTATTTTTTTAATGCATTATTAGCAACCCAACTTTATTTCCTTTACATATCTTTTATAAATATGATGAGAATTTCACAAGCTACGCGTTAAGCTAACGAAAACCAGAGCAAGCATAACTGCAAACAGTTTAGAAAGCCACTATATAGAAAGCGATTTGCGAATATTATACTCACAATACATCTCTACATAAGAATTTAAGAAAATAAAAATTCTTTTTAAATATTTCAAAAATATTTCAACTGCAAATAACCTACTTGAGCCTAACCGCAGAGATTGTAATAACATACACACTCTATTAATGTTAAGACGAAGCACAATTATGCCAGCACGATTCATTTGTTGTTGTCACTTGCTTCATTGCCTCGCTTGTCAACATCCACTTTGTCAAGAGAATAGAAAAACGTCAATGCCGTTGAAATGATAATCGCCAATAGTTATGTGTGACCTTTTCAACAACTGGAGTGCACGGATTAAATTAACTATGACATGTGAAGAGACTATCGTCGACGACATTTTTTATTCGCATAGGCTAAGCTTGAAAAATATGAAACGTTTGTTGCAGCCACAGCCATAGCAACAAAAACGAGACAAGATCGATTGTGATTTCTACCATAAATGGACACTTGTCCGCTGCACTTATTTTGAAGGTCAAATCGCATATTAGAATGCCTTTACCGTTTGTTGTCTGGCAATACAATATTTGCAACGACTGTTTTGCGTGTGGCACATGCAAAAGCATTCGAGCAAGTGCTTCAATTAGATTTTATTTTCCATTAAATTTTCATCACCTTTCCACAAATATACTATAATTTATTTTTATCTTCATTCTTCTTCTCTCTCATTCCAACAGCCACCAACGTTCAGGCACAGTCGCAGCAGAAACGTTCATCGCGCATCACGAGCTCTCGCAGCTTCGGCACCAATGTCAAAGCGTCCGCCTCGAATGGCATAAATTTCGATTGCCCCGAAGAGTTTGGCTATTACCCGCACCCGACCGATTGTACACAGTACTATGTGTGTGTATTCGGCGGTGCTTTGCTCGAGAGCTGCACCGGTGGACTGATGTATTCGCACGAGCTGCAGACCTGTGACTGGCCACGAAATGTGGGTTGTGAAGTTGTGGACAGCGGTGCAGGGTCCCTAGGCAGCAGCGGCAATGGTGGCGGCACACGTGCAGGCAAACAACAACAGCAGTCTATTAATAGTCAGCATGTGCCAAGTCGCATAAGATTCGGTTCGGCCTTTAGCAGCCCAGCGGCGACCACACAACCACCGAAGGCGACAGTACCACCACAATATCATCGTCAGCCACCGCAAGTTATTCAGGCGCAGGTGCAGTCATTGCCACAGCATGCGGGTACAGTGATCGGAACACGTGGACAACCGAAGCCATTCGATACACAAGAGGATATAGCTAAGGTGAGTGTGCGTGGAGCAACTGCTTCGCTTTTATTTGAAATAGAAATCAGTAATACTTTTCAAACTCTGCCTACAGCTTTACGCCGACGCGCATGAGACGCTGCCACCCGTCGAGGAGGAGGAGAGCGATCGTCAGCAACGCGTCTACCGCGGGCAGCCAAGCACAGTGAGTCAGGTGCAGCGCGACCGGGATGGCATTATACACCAGGCAAGCATCAATGCTATACCGAATCATGGCAAGATCGGTTCGTACACTTACGGCTCTCAATATAGGTAAGTGGTCGTCATAAGCGCACTAACAGTTGCTTCCGCTTCTTAGCCGAACTAAAACGTATTGAACTGAACTCATCTATCATTAAATTGAATGCGCTTTTTTATACGAATTTAATGCTTTATCTTCTCTTAATTGCTATTTTCAAATTAATCGAACATTCGAAACTACTCAAAAACCAATTTACATTATCGCAAATGAAATATTCTCATCACAAAACTGCATTTACTATTGCACTACGACTACGAACGACGACGAAACCCAAAAACAAAAACGTGTACCGTTATAATACAAATGACTGAAAAATGTATAACTGCATCTAAATACAACTGGAAACCGCTATAGCCCTAAACACATTGACCTCAACTTACACAGCAATGATCTTGATATCGAACAGTTACTAGAAGAAAACGACTTAAGAGCCTTTGACTTGGAGGCATATGGACGTATGAGTAGAGACTTGAACTCAAAAGAAACTGCGCATAAGCGCGTCAAACGTGACTTGAATCCACCAAGCAACGATGACACGAAAATTGTATTCAACACTGGTGAGATTTTAAAGACTGATGAGCAACCAAAGACATTAGGCGAACCACGCGTACTGGAATATAATACTGGTGAAATTTTAAAGACTGAAGAAAACCTAAAAACGTTGGAGAAACCAAACGTCGTTGGATACTTAAACACGGACGAAATACTTCCGGAAACCGTATTAAACCCGCAACTGAATGAGCACGGAGAAATGGCCGAACATGCACAGATAGAAGCCGCTAACAAACAAGTCTCAGAAGAAAACGTACATGAGAAGTTTATGCAAGCCAATTTGGAGCCTGAAGACAATATGCAAGATTCTGTGATGGAAATAGTAGCAAAAATACTGGAAGAACTGAAGGGTGGTGGGGGGCAAGTAGAGAAAACGATCGATTCGAGTAACACTGCAGCGCAGATGGACGAAGCCAATGGTGTGCGCGCTGAAGCCGCGATCAGCAACAAGCGCATTGATGAACCCTACATAGCGATGGATACCGCAGCAACCAATCCAATACCTGATACGGCTGCAGATCCCATTATGGAGACTTTAAACAGCATAGCAGAACTACTCGATATGGATTACGACAGCGACATCAATGATACTGCAACCGCCGAGGCACGTCAGCGTGGTACACGCCAATTGCGTCAGTTTTTCAATGGACGCTCGCGATTCCAAATACAAAATGTACCCGGCACACATTATCGCTCAATTGATGGTGTTGCATACCAGCCACAACCACAACAGTCGAGTTTTAATTTCGGTTCATATAACCCGTACTTGTCACCGTCAACGACCTCGGCCAATTATAACCAACTGAGTCCGGGTTATCAAGTGTATCCACAGCAACACCGTCCACAAATTTTTGGTGGACAGAAACAAAAATTCACCTATACAGCGGCACTAAATCCACCACCGCCACCAACACGCATAGAGGATGACTTCCGTCCAATGGCGGCTAATTACTATCACACCACTTCCACACTACGTCCATCAACGTTATCCGCCAGACGTCCAAATCTCTTTAACAATCCCGAATTGATACCCTACATATTACAGTCACTGCGCGAGTACCAGGAGCAGCGCAAGAAGATGCAGCAAGAGAATTTCCAATACTTCCATTTAGATAATCAGCCCGGCTCGGAATCGGAAACCACTGGTGCATTGCCACATGTTAGCACGACGGTGGCGCAAACGCCCTATTTTCAGTCCACCAGAGCACCGTCTAAAGTCACACCCAACTCACATTATGCGCAGTTCAGCACCGTCGGTGGTTTCTACAACAACAAGCATAGCAGTTCGCAGCAAGAAGATGTGAACGATTTCAAGTCCACCGCAAAGTATCCCACAAAACTAGTCTCGCAATACAGCATCATCGACAACTATATACCAACGACAACAGAAAGTAACTACTTCAACTACAATATTGTGGGAAATCAGAAAATTAAAGGCTATTTCAGCACAAGCAAACCTGCAATTTATGAAAGCTCGTTTCAGTCGGGTACCGCTCCTCGATATACCACACCTTCACCACCAACTTCGAATATTGATATAGTTTCAGCGCCTAATTTAGCGAATTTCCACACATCAACCACGACGAATCTACCTAAATATAATACTTTCTCGAAATATCCGGAAAGCCTTACGTTCGCCAACAATTCCTCCCAGTTTCCAGAGTCCTATCAGGTCTTCAGCAAAGTACGCACGACAACCATCGTGCCAAGAGTAAAAACTGTCCGACCCACTACCTCAACGATTAGTAACGCAAACGCTCCACAGCCCTCCCGAAAGCCCACTTTGTCGCTGCAATTTAATGTACCGGAATTTGTGGCCAGTCTGCAATCATCCGATTTGGCCAATATGAACCCGCAAGTGGTGAATATGATCAAATATTTTAAGCAACTGAACGCACCAGTGTCTACACGTAGACCAGCCGTAGCGAATGTACCAACCAGTCAGGCGAAAAGACCCATTGAACAGTATGAAGAGCAAATTGAGGCAACCACTGAGCAAAATCGGCAACGCCCTACGGTAGCAACCACTAAGCGGCCGACGAAGGGTTACGAGGACTTCCTCAAGAGCATACCCAATCAAGCGCACAAGTTTAATTTGCATAGCGTGCAACAGGCTAAGCCGTTCACATCCACCAGTACGTACGCACCCGATTACTATGATGAATACGAAGAAGAAGAGGAACCGATCGGTACGGATACAGATGATGACATAATGCCGCCCTCACAAATGCCACCATATATGCCAATGTCGGAGACCATGGCGCCACCGCGACCACAATTTTGGCCCCCCGCAGCCACAACGACTGTTAGCCCACACTTGAAACCCAGTTTCCAGACAGGCTACATCGAAGCCACAACCACGCGAAGACCATTCGGCGATACACAATTTCAGCAATTCTACCAAACAGCAAACAAACAGGCCAACAAACAGAACAATCAAATACCGTCGTTTATAAACTTCCCGAGCGATATATTCCAAGAGATCAAACAGCGCCTGCCACCCAAACCGCAATTGGGTTCGACGGCACCGACTTTGACACACAACAACAATAACAATATACATTTGACGACCACCAAGCCAACCACGACGCCTACGCCTCGTACAACAACAAGTAGCACAACAACCGCAATGACGACAACAACAACACAACGTACGCGCTACACGGTGCGTCCGAATCGTCATCGCGGCCAGAGTAAGTGGCAAAGCAACAGCAATGCCAACAAGGAGCTGAACAACATCGAACCGAACAGCAACAACGACATCAACAAAAACAACAACAAAACCGATTTCGGTGCACAAAACTTTCGCAAACGGCCGGCAGCCACGCCGGCGTCCTCAGCACTGGGTTCGTTGCAGTTGAACGTGAACATGCACCTGAACATGGCGGACGGTGGACAAAGGTACACTTGTTGAATGTCTACAAGAGATGGTATTTGTTTTTGTACAATTTGTTGTGTTTGCAAACAGTGCGCTTGTTGCGTGCGAAACTTTGTTGTTGCGTGTTTGAAGCCACAACAACACTAGACAGGTTGACAAATGTTCTACGTAATTACCACTGTAAGACTGGCAGGCTGGCAAGTGAGCGCGGTCAGGCGCGTGGGCTCGCATTGTGTGCTCGCGTGCTCGCCTGCTCGCCTACTTGACTCCTTGAGACGCTTGGCGCCTGCGCAGTCTTTAAAGCTCTATAAGTGATACCAGCGATTCCCAAAGCATACGCACACTCAACCAACACTACCGAATGTAAATGATGTGTAAATAACTGTTTATATACTTACTTACTTACATACTTAGTTGCGGTGCAACATACGGTTTCGTTGCAGAAGCAACGATCACCCAACCTAGGTACATATTACAGCATACCACTAAATGTCACTAATACCAAACTGTACATACAAACGATTTTACACCCTTACCAAAGTACCGAGTAACCAGAAAGCCATCCCAAAAACAAAAAAAAATTTTAAAAAATAATAATACGAGCGCGTTGAACCGATCAACTGGACTTAGTATGGACCCAGTACGCAGTACTTTGTACCGTTACCCAATTTTAAAACGGCACTTGCACTCACCCTCTTGCCTATACTGTAAATCATTTCTGTACTATAACTGTATATTTTCACTTTGCATGCCTCAAACTGTGTATATCCCGTCACACCCTTAACCCTCTTATTCTTAACATTCCGCCATGTCATGCGACTTTCATCGATTAACCTAGCTGTGCAGCTCTCCACTTGTTCTTAGTTGTTATTGTTTTAACTAATCCAAAAATAATATATTTCTTTTCGTTCTCATATTCTCTTTTGTAAATATATACATACATATATAATCACATATATATATATATATCAAACGAAAAATTAAATTTATATGCATTTATACCAACTTCATGTTTGTATACTTATACTACTACAACAACAACCAAACAAATAAACTATTACATAACATCGTTTGGTATTTGTAAATATACATACATACATATATACATATATATAAATATATATATAACGTTTAACTGCTAATACATCAATCCACAAATCAAAACAAAAACAAATTCATGGTGGCGCAATCAACAATCAATCGAAACAAAAACACAAACCAAATACAAAAACAAACAAAAAATGCATTAAACTCATCGAAGAAGCGACACATCATCGCCATCATCACCACAATCACAACCGCCGGCCAGTCACTATGTACAGCAACAACGTGCGCCGACTGCCGTGATTGTGGAGGCGATACCATCCATACAAAGTCAGAATCAGAATCAGAATCAGAATCCAAATCAAAATCAGAATCACAATCAGAATTTGGCCAATCGTAATTACTATAATACATCGGCTTTGTTAAATCATGCGGGTTATGAGTCACAAGCAAACATACATCAACATCAATTGCATCAACAGCAACAGGCTGAACAGCAACAGCAAATTGCGTTGCAACATCAACAACAACATCAGCAACAGCAACAACAACAGCAACAGCAGCAACAACAACAAGCACCGCAACAAAGCAATCAGGAGCAAAGCTCCTACGAACAATATTACTCAGTTTATGATGATGATCTTGATTTGTATAGGGATATAGAGTACCAGCAGCAGCAGCAGCAGCAGCAGGAGCAACAACAACAACAGCAGCAGCAACAATATCAGCCACAGCAGCCAGTGCGTCAACAACCCGTACAACAATCGACCTATCGTCCATTGGAAATTCTAACAACACCCGCCCCCCAAGTGCCCCTACGAGAGACTTATCAGCCACAAGAGAAGCCAACATATAACAATCAACAGTCGTTGATCTATAATACCGACTATGACGAGGATCTTATTGCACAGGTAAGTCTAATGGCAACAGCTAATTGTAAGATAATTTTTGTGATTGCAAACAAAGCTCTGTTCCATATAAGCTTTTCGATAAACATCTTTTGTGTTTCCATGAAGCTTTCTGTTAACAATACTTCGAACCACTCTATTTAGTTATGATTGATATTTTTTAACTCAGATAATGAGACTTATATTCGCGGAGTCACAAATAATTCCTCTTCAACATCCCTTTTGATGATCAGAACTCTTGAATATGGAACTATTATAACTTTATTATACTTTCTAAGTAATTTCTTTTCTAAACAATATATTTTTCCACCGACAGATCGAACAGGATAATGTGTATGATCAGCCGACCCGTCCACCAACGCGGTAAGTACACTAAAGCTTTCGTGCACAAACCATTCACCACCAACAAACAACTAATAACCAAAAGAACGGCATTAAACTTTTTTGTTTCTTAACCCAAGCATTTAACTTATGATTAACAATTTAACCGACTTACAAATCGAGAGCTGCCTGCCATAAACATACATAAATTATTTACAAACGTTAGTCTATAATATTACCGTTATAAAACAAAATTTTACGCAATTATGTATGTATTGTAACGATTTATACATACCACATACATGCGTGATTATTTAACCAGCCAAGACATAAGAACCATTTGATACCGTTATATTAAATATGTCATACAAACATGAAAAAATTCCCGAAGGTAAAGTCTAAAGCGGCGTTAAGTCCCGCTCTCATAACTGTACTGGGTTATTATTTTAGCAGGATAACTTATATATACACACACACACACATACATATGAACGCCGCACACATCATAGAACACACACAACACAAACACCATTACGCTTGCACCAGCACACGCTCATACACACGCTACGCAATAATTTGCATACGCATTTGTGAAAATCAAAATTTGTTTTTGTTGATATTTTTAAATTGAATTTTCTAAATTGTCCACTTTATTGCAACAACAAACATCCAACCGTTCCAACATTGCTACTTTACGCTTACGTTTGATACAAACAATACACACGCACGTACAAAAAAAAAAACAAAAACAAACAGTGAGCGCGTCACCATTGCAACATTACCAACACCAACAACGTCACACCCAACGCGCCAGCCGGTTAACGATGTGCGCAACGTGTACGCGCAGGCGCCGACCGCCGTTGATGATGCACCGTTATATGAATCGGTTTACGACAACAGCGCCGAATTGTATGACGATGTACCGGCGTACGAGCTGATTACCGATCGTGCCGTTTACGAGCAGCCACGACGCTTCACCACCTATGCGCCGAGGTTGGTAGCCACACAAGATGCCGACGAATATAATCTAATCGGCACGACACGCTACGATGAGGATTTCAAGAAAGTATTCAACCCGACCGCCACAAATTTCGTTGAACCGCCGACGAGTAGGGTAGTCACAACGCCAACGCGTCGTGGCAATACCGCGACCACACTAGCGCATCGTCGACAGCCGACAACAGCTATAACAACAACTGCGGCGCCAAGAACAACACCACGAACAACAATCACTTCGAGGACGATCACAACAACGACGACGCGCACTCCACAAATTGCGCGCACCACACAGCCAGCAACCACAACAAAGTCGATAAGGTATAGTCTCTGACACACGCTAAACGCGATATTTTCACGCTCATCCATGCTATGCGAAAATCTCTTGCGGAACGCATTCATACGCAAGCTCGAAAATTCCAATCATTATGTAACTGCGTTTGGTCATTGCGTGATTTTTTGGCTTTACTTTATGTTAATTTGCTAATTGGATTAATTGAATTGTTGAAAGCACCTATTCACTCTTCATCATCAGCTGGCAAACACCAAGCTACCAACACATACATACATACATACCTTTATATACTACATATAGCGCTTACTCATACAAACAAACATTCATACAAATACATGCCGTTATAAGCATTGATATAATATTAATATTTTACGCGCTCTTCTCCTGCATTCTGTGGTTCTCGTTTTTAATCTGCATCACCTGTGGTTTTACTTACATGAACAGAAGGTTCATGCATACATACACTCACATTATATAATATATAACTACAAACATACACCATTATTTGTTTAACTTCCATAAAACTGCTACATCGAAATGTGAACTTATGAAACAGTTAGTCGCAAACATCTCACACCTAAAAGAGAACTAGTATACCCGTAAATATCGAAAAATAATAATTTTTGAACTAGTTTCAAACATGCGCGGTTTTTTGGAATAATTTGTACTACGTAGATCCAGAATTGTTAATGTCTGCATCAGTAAAATCAATTGCCTGACGAAGGCCAAGAATATTTCTCATCAAGAATATTTGAAAAAAAAACAATTTAGTTAAAAGTTTTCCCCTTCATTTGGTTAGTATTCGAACTCTGAAAACCAAGCACTTACTACTATAAAATCTATTAACTGGAATGCAAGCGACCGCTCTTAAGTCATCCCTAGGCTTATTGTGTTTACGAATAAATCCCAACCAAACACAATTTCGCTTCAATCGTGAGAAAAATTTATTTTCTAGTGAAAGTGAGCAATTAACACCCTAACTAGCTTTTCGTAATATAATGCATGAGGAGTAAAGTCCCGCTATGGAGAGTTAAACTTGACGTCATCACGTTATTATTTTTTCTTTCTACTTGTAAGTCTGAAAAACGTATCTGCTTCAGAATGAGAAGAACGATTTTGCCATGAAATATATCATATTCATTAGATCAAAGCAAAGTTAGCTTAAGGTGTATGATAACTTTCAAAACAATTCTATATCACTTATTACATGATACTTTCCGTCTGATTTAATGATGGTGACCGAAATTTAGCGCCTCAATATTGTATGATATTAATGATTTCATCTAAACCACGAAATGGTAGTAAATCCATAAAAAGCCATAGCCGTGACCAACGCAACGCTTATACCTCAGCACTCAATGTTTCACCCAAAAAATTAAAGCTCATTCGTATTTCGCTATGTCTGGCCTAAAGTGGAAGATGTGTCTTTTATTTAAATGCTTTTCAGAAGTACTTAGGAATTTTAAAGCGGATATAAATTATGCTGTTCATACGCTGCATGGGGTTTTCAGAACTACTATATGTTTCTTGGTTAGGACTAATGTTACTAGCATTGTTCTAGAAGCATGTGGGGTCATTTGTGCATACCATAGGTTTAAAGTCTTAGGTTCCTGACCTCTTTAGGAAATGTTTGTCACCAAAATATGAAAGCCTTTTGTCTGCAGGAATACTAATGTTGAAATGACATGTTTGCAAAGAGGAACATTTTTCAAATCTAGTTACTTACAACCCTTTAACCGTTATTGAATTTTGTCGTTCATTGTCTGAAACTCTTTAACAGTAACAGCTCTTAAGCTACTATGTTATTCACTCAGTAGAATTTAACGGTATTTTGCACCTGATTCAGTACATCAATCACCTTGCCACCAACAACAATAATAAAAGCAACAAAATAACAACAAATCGTGTAGTAATAACGCATCAATATATATATTCAATTCAAAAACGTTGAACGCCTACCGCCAAACAACTGACGAAGAACAGCCACAGCCACCACTACTACTACTACTACTACTACTACTACTACCACAAGCACCACTACTCCAAATACCAAATCTAAATCTACAACAAAAACACTAACATTAACCGAAAATGTGGATTTCTCCTACAGATCTAAAACGCATGCAAACAAATACCAAAAGAACCAACGTTCACAAATCAATTCCCAACAAACCGCCGCCGTCAACACACCACCTACATCCTCCCACACCCCAATACAAAGAAAACCAACAACATTACCACACACTACAACAACTATTACACCAATACCCCAATCGTTTTCCAGTTCACAGTACGTCGATTCCGACGAAACCTTTGTCACAGTTGTCGCCAAATCCCATAGTTACCCCAAACCCAACCCAAATACGCAACAAAGTCAAAACCCAGCTCAAACAGCACACTCATCACACTCCCAGTCATCACCCGTCTATTTACGGACAGTAGGCGACATTGAAACCGTATCGGACGCAAGCCAAAACGTACAGGTGCAGACGTCTGAACCCTTCAGCAGCACGGGACGCTCGCTTGAGTCAAGCACGTCTAAATCTTCGGCTTTGAACAATAGATCGAAGTTTTTAGCTGCCATCGACAATGTGGAAGACTATACAGAGAGGTCACGTAGTAATACGGTGCGTGTGATCGGCGCAAAAAATCTCTCAAATACTAAATATTCAGCTAATGAAAATGTTTACAATAATAATAGGCAGCGGGAAGAGTATTATGGTAAAAACTCCAATGATGAACCGCAGCAACAGCGCTTAAATAATTTTGAAAAGCAGAAAAGTAGACTACAAAGCTATATTGTTTCGGATATTGCGCCACAGAGTTTTAAACCCGTACCAACAGTTAAAGTAGTGCCACTACCATCTTCAGAACGCGAGCCAGTTTTAGAGCTCATAAGTGATGAGAGCTCCGCACCCAGCACAACCTTGCGTTATCCCACAAATATAGTTTTTGAACCGAAACCTTTTAAGTATAATTTGCAAACCGGTTCAAATGGTTTTAGTTTGCGCGCACAAAACGCGGACGAAACGGAAGGACCCATCTATGAACGTAGACCCAATGTGGCAGCACAAAAACTTACAACAACAAGCCGAGCAATTGTTACTCCCATCACAAGCACGGCTGCAGCGAATGCACCGGCGCAGAAATCTCCCTTTTACGACTCCTCATACGAGGATGATATTGTCCCAACAACATATGCGCCGCCATTGCGTAGCGCATGGCGTCTGGGTCGTACTAGTGACAGGCCCTTGCAACATATCGTTTTGGAAACCGATTTGGAGAACGATCATGTTTCTAGCTCAGGCAGCGAGCAAAGTGTAGTAACAGCTCTAAAGGATACAAGTACTGCACGCCCTGCCACAAGTACCAGTACCACAACGACGAGTACAACACCACGTACTACTACAACTACTACCACCACGACTACCACCACAACCACTACGACAACTACAGCGCCTCCACCAACAACCACCTTTATTGTCACTACTACCGAACGCGCTGCACAGAGCTACACACCGCGCACGCTTACATTTAAAGATAACCTAATTAAAACCACCGGAACTCCGGCTCAACGTTTTGTCTCACCCTATAAAAGTCTGGAAACAATACTACAAGAAAAGGAAGATCGTTATACAGGTTTCAATGGAATTCGTAGCACGGTCAAGCCACGCTACACCAGCCCAACAACTCCTACAACATTTACGCAGAACACCAGTGCCAAGCCGGTACGCAGCTATTTTCTCATCACAACACCTCAACGCAACCTCACTGATTCCATTCTGTCTACCGCGTCGACAGGAATGCGTAATTTCAGTGTAAGTGATACAATACTCAACACCTTTTCAAATATACCACCCAGAGCTTCAACGACCACAACAAGCACCACCGCAGTGCCAGTAACAGAGGCTACAACCGAGAGTACAACACCCACTACTATGTCGACAGTCATTGTGACTGCGCCCATACGTGTCTCACAGGCACTTTCGTATCAAAATCTACTAAAACTAGATCATAGCTCAATTAATTCAGAAACCCCGCGTCCACGTGGACGCTCTAGATATTCTGCAGCTACAATCAACGCAGCCGACGAGTCCACAACTTATACGCCGCGCGGCCGTTATTCTGGAACTAATGGTCAAGAGTCTGTGACGACTTCACCACTGGAACCCTACCCACAAAGAAGAAAACTACAACAACGTGCGCGTATCGTGGGAGTACAAGGTCAACGCAATACGCTTGGAGCAAGCTCACTGAAAACTCGTGAGAAATATGAAAATTATAAGGCGGAGAAGAAACAACAGCAGGCTTCTGCAAACATATATGGACAATCGGTACAGAAGACTGTGAAACGAAAACCGATTGAAAATGAATCCACCATAGATGATGGTGCGCGCGCTGAAGCTTTGGTACGACAACCCATCGACGGTAAACAAGACAACAGTATCGAATCCGTGGTAAGCGCAAGCTCATCAGCCTCCACAGAGCAACAAGTTGGCGGGATTAAGGAGCGACCACCGAAATATTTGTTCTCCAACAAGTATCGACAGCAGACGAAAGATCGTACACTGGCGGAAAGTCTACAGAATGCTGGTTACATCACATCCAGCACAAGTCGCACGAGATACGAGCCAGCTTCTGTGTTGGAACAACTGCAACTCTTCCTTGCCGGCGATAGTGACGAAAGTAGTGCCCAACAATTCGTGGATGACTTTTCAGAACGCGAAATAAGTGCTGCAGTGAAAGAGATCAAGAACTTGTATACCACTCCACGGGATAAGATCACAACAACGCCAACCACCAGCAGTACTTCGACAACTACTTCCACAACAACAACAACATCGACGACGACAACAACTCATAGACCACCGACCACTACCACAACAACTACGCTACGTCCGACCACTACGGCTACGCCGCCTACTGCTGCATACCGTACAGCAACTACAACAAACTCCACACCAACCACAAGCGCAACATTTGCGTCCAATCGTTCCCCTACACAAAACACTTATACACAAACCAGACACCCATCTCCTACAACAAGATCCACCATCGTCAGCACAACATCCTCTTCCCATACGCCCACCTCCCTTGCAAATGCCAGCAGCACGCCAGCGAACACTGTCAAGTCCCTGCTAACGCCAATGCGTGCTTCAAGAGTCAATAACGCCATCAAGTCGTCGATTGCCGCTGCCGCTTACTCCGCACCTTCTTCGCCCTCCGCTTCCAACTCCAACTCTAACTCCGCCTCGGCCTCTGCCTCTCCGGCATCCCCGGCTGTGGGCTCCGCCAACGCGGCTAGAGGTAACAGTATTAAGGCCAGTGCTTACGCCACGAACGCCGGTGCAGCGGTCAAGTGCTCAGACACCACATCGAATGCCAAGTGCAACGAAATTCCCTCGAGGTACTTAACCAACAACAACAACAACTACAATTTTACATACATATATATATATATATAAAGCTCACAGTTATGTACTATTCCACTTTAATTTTTATTTTCTTTGAATATTTGATTGGAGCGTTAAAACACGCTAAAAAGTAAATACAAACTTTCAAACGCACTCCGGCAACTAGCAGTGTTGCCAAGTGCTTTAGTTATTTTAAAACTATACAAAAATTAGTTAAAGTCAACATATCCATAGTCTACTGTACCGTATGTAGTTGTTAGTTGTTCAATTTCCCTTGCAAATTTGATTTTACAAGAAATCAATTATTTTCAATATTTTTCGTTTTGGTGTACGCTGAATAATTAAAGAGATTTTCAAAAATGTTATCTTAGTAACGTCACTATAGAAATTTAGTTGTTTTTTTTTCTCACATAATTTTATCGAAAAGGTGGTGGTTAGTTGACATTATTGCTAAGTTTTTAATTTTTTATGAGTTTCTATATAAAAGTACAGCTATTAAATTTCACTACTAAATTTTTAGTAGCTGGCGCACTGTATTGGGCCAATACAAACTCTCTATTTCTTTTAATATATTTTTTAGTAATTATTGAGAACCGAAAATGTTTTTGTTTGTTTAACCAATTGCACTTACTAGTTAGCTTTTTGCACCACTTTACCACCTAATCGATCTATTTAATACTTTTTCCACTTCTACTTTTCTTAAACGAAAATCAAAATATTTTATTTTCGAAGTTTATCTTATTTTAGAAGTAACAAATGATATGCTTTCGAAAATTAATTTAAGATTTGCGAAGTTTAAAACTTTTAAAGTGTTTACAAATGAATAAAATCATAAAAATCGTTCGCAACAAGCGTTTCCAGCCGAAACAAAGAAATGTTCGGCTGCTTCGACAAGCCAAAGCCTTCGTAAACTTTCGCGACCAGAAAAAGCTTTTTTAATTTAACTTTGAAAGCACGGTTGATAGTTTTTTGAATATAAATCAATAAGTCCTCAAAGCATACTTTACACACTAGAAGGTGACTTAAAAAGCACGCCTGCTTTAAAAGCGGCAGCTAAAAGCTTTCGGTACATTTGAATACATACACTGAATATTCATTGAGATTTAAGGCCACATTTTGCGTATAATAAAAATTGAGAAAAAATAAGACGTCAGAGCTTTTGAACACATATAGTTATGGAAACTCACAATTACTTTACGACTATAGGCGTTGCTTGTTTGTTACATAGCAGCTCGTGACGGCAAATTTGTAATTTATATTAAATTAAAAATAATAAATCGAGTAATAATTTTTAATTACCGATTTTTTCTTTTAAAGTATGTTGAATTAGATTAATCAGCTTAGCGAACAGTGTGCAATTTTTTTTTTTAATTAGTTTATAAATTATTGAGTGCTTTATGAATTACTTATTCAGCGTACATGTAAAACAGAAAACTCTAAATAAAGTATTTCTATTAGTTAGTCCATATATTACTACCCAATTTCGTTCTCTAACAAAACTGAACTTCCAACTTTTAGTCGACCACTTCACCCTGAGCGAATTTGAGCGAAAACCCCAAAATATATTTCTGTTTTTAACTTTTTAAATCTGCAACTAATGTGCCCTGAGCCCTGAGTGTCTTTCAGTTGGCAAGCGCTAAATATGTATAAAGAAAACTGTAAAAATACCGTTAATTCTTCTGCTTGTTTCACTCAACCACACCCCTCACTCAATTCCCTCCTTTCATTCCCCTCCACCACCTAACGCCGCCAATCCCTCTGCAAACACTATCGAATTGAATTGACTAAACACTCTTTCTTTGCAGCAAGATTTGAAAATAAGAAGCAGAAGTTGTTGAATATATAAACAAACAATTCATCTTTTCGGTTCTCACTAAGCCTCTACAGCATTGCGACGCTATTTTCAGCTTGTAAATTTTGTAAAAACCCATTGGTTGTTGTAGCTGTTGTAACTTTGCCTAACTGCGACTAACACATGCCAATATTTTGTAAATAATTCCACGTTACTAACACTATTCATTAACTGTACTGTATATTTGTTGTTGCTACTAACCATTTACCGCATAACATGTCCACGTGTAAAATTGGTTACTCACTGAAATTAACTATGTAAATGAATTAATATATGTGTACTCGTATAACTGTATATGTATGTATATAAATGTTAGTGTGTGCTGTGCGTCTGCGCCATGCTTAGTTCGCCTGTTTAGTGTAGCTGTGTGTCTGATTTGGCCACACTGGTAATTGCTTCGCAGCAAAGTAGTTAACCGTTAACTTGTATTGCCTCTGTTATGCAAAACCGAAACGATCACATCGTTACTCCAACCAATATATATATATATAATGTTAGTGTATATATATATATATATACGTTGTATATATATGTTCCATATATATAACTGTGCTATCGTATCTACCTCCAACAACAACAAGTAATTAACCATGGATGTTGCTAACATTACACAATTCAATTAAATTTTTACATAGAACAAATTCGAATAACAATCGTAATCGCGGTAGCTCCTCCTACGCCGGCCAGGAACGTGACACGCCCACAGCAGTGACCAGCAATCGCGGCACACATCCACCGTAAGTACAACAGCGTAACAACTAAAAGATATTTCACTAATCACACCTTCAACACAGTCGCACACGCCCCACCTTGAAGCCGTCCGGCACGATTGTGTCGAAGGCGCAGGAGTTCGTCGATATCTACAGATATCCACCCACGCGTCCCGAACCGCTGTACCCACAACCGACGCCGGACAAAACGGCTGCCAAGTGCCGCAAGGATGTTTGCCTGCTGCCCGATTGTGCCTGCGGCGGCAAGGACATTCCCGGTAAGTTAACGTCACTCAACTTTTTGGACAGAAAAAAACAAAAAAAATGCATTACTTGTGTACACTAAAGTGCAAAATATTTACCGCCGCAATAAAATTTACATACCAACAATTACACTCACTTAAAATACACTGTGTAACAAACACTCACGAAAATATTCGTTGCTCGTTCACAACACAAATTAGGCGGTTTGAATGTCAGCGCGGTGCCACAAATGGTGCTGATCACTTTCGACGATGCGATCAGCATACTGAATATCGATATCTTCGCAGAGCTATTCAACAATAAGTCGCGTTTCAATCCCAATGGCTGTCCATTGCGCGCCACCTTCTATGTCTCGCATGAGTGGACCGATTATGGCATGGTGCAAGATCTCTATTCGGTTGGACACGAAATGGCTTCGCACTCCGTCTCGTAAGTTGGGCGCTTCGGAGCTTTTACGAGCTGTAAAGCTCAAAGAACTTCATGTATATTTATAAAATACGCTATACTCGTACATACTTATATAAGCGTTCATTTTGTGGCCGAGCATGTGGTGCCCCTCATACCTGTCGTTTCTTCCAAGTTTTCTACCCAGCGGTCAAGTGTTTTTCATCTCCTATAAACAATCTGGGTTTGAAAGCGCCATTTCTACACTGTCATTTGTCCTCGCGAATGTTTGTTTTTTTTTTTTTAATTATTTTTATTTATTTTATTTTAGCTTTAATTTTACTTACAAACCGCTATCTAAATGTTTCATGGCAGTTTTTATTTAATTTGTTTTCTTTTTTATTTTATTTATTTCCACGCCATAATTTGTGTTTTTATTTTACAAATCATACAACATACAAATCTATGGTGACATTTCGTCAACTACTTCTCCTACTTTTTACACATAATGCATATAATTATGTCGGAGACCCGGCTCGTTCCCCCTCATCTCATGCCAAAAAACCATGTACTCACGAAAAATGCACACGCATGCGCCAACACAGGCGATTTACCGGTCGAGACAGTGCCGCAAATAGTGCTAATCACCTTCGACGACTCAGTTAATGATCTGAATAAGCAACTGTATACCGATCTGTTTCAAAAGGGGCGTGTCAATCCGAATGGTTGCCCCATAACGGCAACATTCTACGTATCACACGAGTGGACTGACTACAGCCAAGTGCAAAATTTATATGCCGAAGGGCATGAGATGGCCTCCCACACAGTATCGTAAGTAAAGACAAAGCAAGAACAAAATATAATGTACACGGCACAGCAATAAAAGTGTGGCAGCACTTACATATGTAGCATAAATTGACACATACACATTAATAAGCAAAAACAATGCAAAAGTTGGCGCCTAAAAGCAAAGGACAACTGGATTATTTTTGTGAAAGCACTTTTTGAGTAGTACAATAAAAGCGCACAAGTGCATTTAGCTGTTTTCCAGTAATACACATCTAACTCATAAAAAAACACCCTGCTTTCTTGCAAAGCAATAGTTTCTATAAACCACATACATACATACATTTTAGTAAATAAATTTCTCACACAATTAAATATTTATAATATATACACACAACGCTTTATTATGCTCGGTAATAGGTCATCGCTTTCCACTCTTACAGTGAAGCTATAAAGTAATGGTAATTTAATAAGAAAAATGTAATAATTAACACGCGATTTTTAAAACTAAATCTAACTAATTTTATACGAAAAAAAATTAAAAATTAACTAAAACTAATTTTGATTTTTTTATAGCTATTTATAAACAATAAATTAAATTTACCACTACAGACTTTTTGATTTTTATTTTTTATCTTATAAATATTTAATTTTTCATCTCATAAATATTTCGTTATTATTTTCGCTTGAAACACATTATTATATAAGTTTTTTTTATAATTTGACTTATTTTTCAAGCTTTGTTTTATTTGGAAAATGTATTTTTGAATTAAAAAAACTTATTTTTTTACTTTTACCACTCATAAAAATTCTTTCTTGAAACACAGCTCAAGCTTTAAACCGATTTTCTCTTTCAAAACTAGATAATACTTTTACATATAACAATCTCAGTTGTTTTTAAAACAATTTTAAGTTTTCTAACTAAATAAAAGCTTTAACCTAACAACTTACCTTTTACCCAACATCAGAGATGTAGCTCTATAAATCATACGTATATACTTACATAACCTAAAAAACCTCAAAAAAATTTCAATACTCCAACTAACCTATTTATTTTCCGCACACATCACCCTAAACACGAATACAGTCACAGCTTCGGTGAACAATTCTCACAAAAGAAATGGACGCGTGAGATTGCCGGTCAACGTGAAATTCTCGCCGCCTATGGTGGTGTGAAACTCTCCGATGTGCGTGGCATGCGCGCACCGTTCCTCTCAGTCGGCGGCAACAAAATGTACAAGATGCTGTACGATTCCAACTTCACCTACGACTCATCGCTGCCGGTTTACGAGAATCGTCCGCCATCATGGCCCTACACCTTCGATTATAAGATCTTCCACGACTGTATGATACCGCCATGCCCGACACGCAGCTACCCAGGTGTATGGCAAGTGCCTATGGTGATGTGGCAGGATTTGAATGGTGGCCGTTGTTCGATGGGTGACGCCTGCTCGAATCCCAGCGAGTCCGAAGGTGTGACCAAAATGATTATGAAGAACTTCGAACGACACTACCAAACAAACAGGTGAGACACAATTCAACAAAGTTTTAAACTTAAATTTAAATTTCAAATTCACACAATACCAAATATGTTGCATACTTTTCAGAGCACCATTCGGTCTGTTCTATCACGCCGCTTGGTTCACGCAACCCCACCACAAAGAGGGTTTCATCAAATTCTTGGACACCATCAATCAAATGCCCGACGTTTGGATTGTGACCAATTGGCAAATGTTGCAATGGGTTCGTGATCCCACACCAATCTCGCGCATCAATTCCTTCCAGCCATTCCAGTGTGATTACTCGGTAAGTGCACCAAAGTGTGAACTGTAGCATGACTTGAAGTATATTCATAAAAAAAAACGATATTTTTTGCTTGTCCACCATAGGATCGTCCGAAACGTTGCAACAACCCCAAGGTCTGCAATCTGTGGCACAAATCCGGTGTGCGCTATATGAAAACATGTCAACCCTGCCCCGACATCTATCCATGGACCGGCAAATCGGGCATACGTTCCTCACGTATCGACAATGAAATCGAAGATTCGACAGCGTAAATTACAAAGTGTGTGTGTGGGCTAAAGACAACCGTTAGTAGTGTATGTGTGAGTGGATGGTGTATAAGTTAAGGTCAAGCAAAGCGCAGCCAAGTTAATTGTAGTGAGTAACGCGTGCGCTATGCTAATTGTAAATACCTACAAGTGTCAAAAGTAAGAAAGGAGGAAAAGCGGCAATAATGCATACATACATACAAACCATACATACAACTGTAAATGCACAAAATATGCAATTCACTCGTTAGCAGCAAAAAAAAACTAAATTTAGCAAGTAACAACAAAAATGAGCATATGAATTATTGGCTAAATTAATTTGCGTGTTTTATGAAATAAAAAAGAAAACCTATTTATTTTATTCTAAATTTTGTCGAAATTCTAGTATTAAATATGTATAAGTTCTAAATGCGAAAACAAAAAGCAAAATATTAAAATTAAGTGGCCACGCATGCGCGCAATACTAGTTGTAGTTTTTTCATAGCAGCCCAAGCGATTTTTCGCTACTTTCAACATTATAGATTGTGCGAAAGTGCAAACGAAAACGCAAATGGCTTTGAGCAAGAAAGAGTTTTATATGAAAAAGTATACATATTTTAAGTTTTTTTTTTTTTAGCACGTAAGCACTGTATGTTTAGAGCAATTTACTATATTATTATGATATGTGATAAATGTTTGACTATTCGAGTTGCCTCGAGCGTGTAAGTTTGAATAGGTACAAAAGAAAAGTTGAAAAATGGCTTTGTCGTACGATGTTGTAGTTTTCTTAAGTTACAAGCCGAAACAATTTCGAACAATTTCGTAAGCTAATTTAAGTGAAACAATTTTTTCATAAAACCATCTGACCTATTTGCCTGCTCAATAGAAAAGATTACAAAATTTTCAATTTCATAGCTTGATAAACATATAAAACTAATTATTATTATTATTTTTTTTTTTTTTGTACCGGTTATCACCGTGCACATAATTGTTTCCTGATTCATACACATAAACGCATGTCGGTCAGAAAGCATATTTTTTAATATTATTATTATTTTTGTAAAATTTTGAGTTTAGCGTGCTTGCACTTTTCTATGCTGGTTGACTACGTTCTATAGCAATTATAATAACACATAATTGCTAATAGTTTTCCATAAATATTATAGGCAGCAAACGATTTTTAAAATTTTCCATACTTTAACTTCAGCAAAATTTGTAAAAATTAAATTATTTCGATTTTTTAGAGCACTCGTCTTGCTTTAATAGCATAGAATATACCACACATCATAAATAAATAGCTATCATATAATATTTACCTACACATATATATATGTATATTGTACCTCGTAAGCCTAGCATAACACAAATTCACTACATTTTTCTATTTTATAGCAATTTTTCATTTAAAATATTATTAGAAGCATTAAACAAACACATAAATAGCAAAAAGTAAGTTTATATGTTGTTGAAAATAAATAAATTTTGCACTAGATGAGATAACAAACAAACTATAAATATATATAAACTAGAAATAAATGATGAAAAAATTAATTTTAATAATAATTAATAATTTTTGTGTTAAATTTTTTAATATTCTTTAAATTCTAAATTATTTTGCGCATTATATACTTTTTTGTTTCAAAATTTTTATTATAATCAGCAAAAAAAAGGTTATTAAAATCACTTATGTTCACTGTGACTATTTAATGCATGACAAAATTAAAAATAAAAAGAAATTTAATTCATGAGAGAATAAAAAAAAAATTGAGAAAACTAAATTAGTGCACTGAAAATTTTTTAGCTTAATTAATTTTGAAAAATCATAAAGTTCATATAATAATTTAATAACCATCATAAAGTAGCACTAGTAAACAACAACACTATTTTTTTTATTTTTTATATAAGTATATATTGTTGTTGCCACACTGCCGCTATTGTAATATAGTATTAAATAATAAAATATAAACGCATAATATAAATTAATTAGAAGTAAATAATCACATAAATGTATTTATACTTTTCCCTATGTAACTAATAATGTGTAAAAATAATTAAGTAACTTGAAAGGTAAATTGTAATTTTCAACAAAACTAAATCCAATTGACATCGAAAGTATTAAGTGTTTTAAGATTGCATCAAAAAAGTGCATTATTGGAGTTAAGAAATTAAACACACACGAATACATGCACACATATTAAACTAGAAAATTCAAAATATATAGCATATTTTTAATTATACGATATGTATAGTCAATAAGCATTTCAAACTGTCATTTCAAATTCCATATAACGAGTGAATCAAATATTTTGTGCTAACGACACGTTGAACGAATCGAATCAATGAATATTACAAATAAAGAAAACATTATGTTTATACAATTTGGATGTGTATACTTATTTCCGAACAAATTACTATACTTAAAATTAGCGCAAACATAAACAGAAATCCGCTTACTGTAGTGACATACAGCGTCTACCAATAGGGGTGACGTGATTTTGACAGCTCGTGATCGACATGTTTGCTTACGGATTTATGTCAAATTTTGCCAATGTGTTCAGTAAGTTTTGCCATTTCATCAGATCACGTTTCATACGTGATACAACGCATGGAAATCGTCCAAGATTATCACGCAAATTCACGTTCTCCGAAAAATTCACATTCATCGAAAAATCATATTCTCAGATGTGGCCCATTTCAGGCTTAATGGCTTCGTCAGCAAACAAAACTGAGGCTATTAGGGTGAGTGAAATCCCCGTGTGGTTCAGGAAATCCACAAAAAATGTACCGTTAATAGCGAACATTACAACATTGATGTTGACCGACTCGACCCGGAATTTGATGAAACGACCGATATCTATTTCCAACAAGACGATGCGTCGCCTCATATTTCTCGTCTAAACATGGACACATTGCGTGCAAAGTTTGGCGACACGTTAATATCGAGAAATGGCCCAGTCAAATGGCCCCCAAGATCTTGTGATTTAACGGCTCTAGATAATTTTCTCTGGGCGTATGTTAAATAAAAGGTTTTCGCTGCTGAAATGCTGCACCGGGTCATCGAAAATTTACGTAAACGGGAGGAGTTATACAAACGGAGCCGTGGTGGCCACTTAGCCGACATTTTGTTCAAATCATAAATGTCGTTATTGTTGGTAGACCGTATAGCTCATTCCTCAAATAAGTTGAGGTGCTGCTCGATTGATAGTACTAGGCCGTAAAAAGCTTCGGGTTCGAATGAGAGCGGTTGGTACTCATGTGGGTTTCTGCGGGCCCCAGCCATAGGTACAATGCGGTTCAAGATACATTATCCATCAACTACTCACTTTTAAAATATTTCTCTAGAAGCTCCATATTTTTCACTGAAACACTATCTAAAGGTCTAGGCAAAGAACCCTTCAAAGCACCTAAAAAATGTAGTTCCTTTTCTTGAACAATTTCTAAAGATTTAAAAAATTCGGATTCACTTAAAGTTTGCTGCAACACAGACTAACGACAAATAAGATATAGAAACTCAATTATCCGCAGGTGTTTTTCAAATCAAAGCGAAACAACCACATAGCCACTACTAATTGGAAGGTGACGACCCATTGCGTGCTACACTCAACACAAACTGCACCAAGCACAACTGCAGCAATAAATATAGCAACAATAAGCGCATTAGTGTATTAATTATAAACATGTAGGGCTAATAAATTACGAGTTAGCCTTGTCCAGTGTGACTAATATAATTTCGAATACCGTTAAATAGATAAATATCACCACTCATAAGCCAAAAGCAGCAGAAGTGAACGTGTTAACGGTGTGACAAGAGCATGCCTCTTAATTGGACGCGCTGCCTACTTCGAGCTGCTCTATTACTTTGCAGCTTGCAATGTGTGTACAGTGTACTTGCAACCGAGGCAGAAGTGGATGAAATTGCCTGCGTTAGTTCGACTTTGATAAAGCGTCATAATCTAAATCCACAGCTCTACGGAAGTTGCGAATATCGGAAGCGAAATGGAACTGTGTCACAGTTTCGTCGTTTGCGTCGAGAGATCAAACCCATATTTCGTGGGCACCCAAAGCCACGCGGCGAGATTCTGGCAAACAAGTTCCGCATGAACTCCTTCAGCACCGATCAAACCGATTCGCTGGTGCGACTAATTAATAAAATCGCCATCGAATATCTGTACAAATGTCCACCGGTTATCTATTATGACAGTTTCGTAAAGAAATCCGAAGCTATGATATTGCAAAGTCTTTTTAAGGTATAGGAAAATAATCAGCTGAAAGCAACACTCAGTTTTTTAAACATTGATTTATCTCTTATAGACTTTTCCGATCACCTTTTATCATGGCGAAATAAACGAACATTATGAGCCCATCAATCCAAAGTTAAAACGACACATAGATAGCCAATGTAAAAGTTATATACTATTTCTTTCGGATCCGGAGATGACACGCAAAATTATTGGACCACAAATCGAAAGTCGAGTTGTGCTGATCGCACGCTGAACACAATGGAAGCTGAGAGATTTTCTGTCCTCGGAATCCTCTTCAAATATTGTAAATTTATTGGTTATAGGCGAGTCACTGACCGAGACTCCATTGCGTGTGAGTTCTGCAATATTTTTTTTTTCGAAATATTGCGCAATTTAAACGCTTAAGGTATATAGTTTATAAAAAAAATGCCGCTTATTTCAAATTTAGGAACGCCCTTACGTGCTCTACACACATAAACTATATACCGATGGTTTGGGTTCGAATACGCCAATTGTATTGACCAGCTGGATTCGCGGTGCACTTTCTCGTCCGCATGTTAACCTCTTTCCGCCTAAACTTTCAAATGGTTTCGCCGGACACAGCTTCCAAGTGTCGGCTATAAATCAGCCACCTTTTATATTTCGCATTCAATCATTATCTAGTGGTGGCACTTCTCACACCAATTGGGATGGTTTAGAATACCGTTTACTCAATATGATTGCATCGAAACTCAATTTTACCATCGACATCATAGAGCCACCAAGACGAACAGATGTGAATGTGAAGAGGTAAAGCTTGAAATTTATTGCTGCACTGATACCTTAACGATGTTCTGCTTAAACCCTTGCATTTGTGCAGCGTCATTGAGAATATACTGCTTCAAGTTCGCACTAATGCTGCCGATATCGGCATGTGTGGTCTATATATCACAGACGATCGCATCACGGAAACCGACATGTCCATTGGGCACTCACGTGATTGCGCCAGTTTTATAACGCTTGCATCTAAAGCTTTGCCAAAGTGAGTGCGGTGACTTCATGAAGCTATACAGTAGTATTTAGTATACCTCAGCTTCACTGTTGCATTTCAGATATCGTGCTATTATGGGCCCCTTTCAATGGCCGGTTTGGGTTTGTATTGTAGTGATTTATTTGGGCGCAATCTTCCCTATTGTGTACAGTGACCGGTTGACTTTGCGCCACTTGATCGGAAATTGGGGTGAAATGGAGAATATGTTTTGGTATGTCTTCGGCATGTTTACCAATAGCCTCACTTTTTCGGGCAAATACTCATGGACCAGCACTCAGAAGACGTCCACGCGTCTGCTTATCGGGTCTTATTGGTTGTTTACCATAATTATAACGGCATGTTATACCGGCTCCATCATTGCGTTCGTAACACTGCCGGCCTTTCCAAATACTGTGGATTCCGTTAACGACTTGTTGGGTCTTTTCTTCCGCGTCGGAACGCTAGGTAAGTAAAACAGAGACAGAAACTAAATGAATCTCTTAAGCGCAGTATTAGGAAGAAATATGGTGGATTCGCATTGTAAAACGGTTAAGAGGAAACTAAAATTTTAAAAATGTTAATGTTACATCTACTTAAATGAATCGGCCTCGCCATTTCCAAAATATATATATTTTTACTTTCCACGCTTCCTCATGCGCTGTTTTTCCAGACAATGGCGGTTGGGAGACTTGGTTCCAGAACTCCACGCATACTCCAACAATCAAATTGTACAAGAAAATGGAGTTTGTTTCGAACTTGGAAGAAGGTATTGGCAATGTAACGCAAAGTTTCTTCTGGAACTATGCATTCTTAGGCTCGGCGGCACAACTGGAGTTCATGGTGCAGAAGAATTTCACAGACGAGTGAGTATATGTTACAAACTGGGTACTATGTATATCGCTTTGAAAAAATACACCTTTCTAGCAACATTTCACGTCGTTCGGCACTGCACCTCAGCGAGGAATGTTTTGCATTGTTCCAAGTTGGGTTCCTCTTTCCGCGAGATTCAGTTTATAAGCGCAAAATCGATTCGATGATCTTGCTCGCACAGCAAAGTGGTCTCATGAATAAAATCCTCAATGAGGTCAAATGGTCCATGCAACGTTCGGCTGGTGGCAAACTGCTACAGGCGAGCTCGTCCCATACGCTTCGTGAGCGTATACAAGAGGAACGTCAGTTAACCACAGCCGATACGGAGGGTATGTTCCTGTTGATGGGCATCGGTTATCTGCTCGGCGCTATAGCGCTCGTTTCCGAAATTGTAGGCGGCATAACTAACAAGTGCCGCCAAATAGTGCGCCGCTCGCGAAAGTCTATTTCTAGTGCGTGGTCATCAAAACGCAATTCTGAAGACGGAGAAGGTTTGCATGCGGCAGCTGAGCATTTGGCGCACGAGCATCGTAAAAAGGCTAAACGCAAAGCTGAGAAGCAAGGTTTCGGCGTGCGTGAGTTCAACCTCACTAAGAATACGCTGAAGGAATTGTACGGCAACTATTATAAGCAGGAGCCGAACTACGTTTTGAAAGACGGTAAATTATTGCTGGAAACCGAGGCGCTTTCCACCAGTTCGACAGATTACAATTCACGTGACTCCAGTGGCGATGTTCCCGCTAACATGTTACCACATCTACATTGCAAGAAAAAGGCAATGCTGGTAGCAGAGATCGATGTGGAGCGTGAACGTGAACTAATGGCGGCAGCAGCCGAGCAATCCTTAGCGGCATTGGACGCGTGTCTTAAAATGGAGCTAGATACGAACAGCAGTGAGCGTAGCGATGACGATGTACCATATGAGTATGAACTGTTTGGCAGTCTGGTGGAACCCGAAGGACCGATGAGTACAAAACTGGATGAGCTAAATCTATTCACTGACGGCGCCGCTGCGCTCAACAAACTAGACAACGAGTCGGAAATGGTGCAGAAAAGTTAAAACATACAAGTTTACGGCGTTACGTCTTGAAAAAATGGAAGTTTATTTCAATTATGCGAGCATCCATTTATTAAAATGGCAGTTACATGTCAGTTATATTACTTAGAATTCAGCTTAAACTAAAAGTGCGCTTAAATATATGGGATCAATGTTTTTGGCATCTATGCTTTGCTTTTTAATAAAAAAATAATAATGTGCTAATTATAAATAAAACAGTTACAACAGTAAATTCATTTAAATAGCTTCGTTCTGGTGCAAATCTAACAATTGTTGTTGGAATAGACCCGCTTTCATAATATAAATATATAAAATATTGCAAAACACGCTTTTTCGTTAATATGACATAACGGTATGTCACCAAGCTACTGCTTAACTAAAATTACAATTCGGTCTTTGCGTTATTTGTTATATTTGCGTCGTCCTCACTAACGTCATTTATGTTCGCGTCTGTAAAACCAAAATATTGGGAAAAAATATATATTTAGAAACTAATAGCCAATAAATAAGTATAAATAAAAAATGAATAATATAAGAAAATGTAGGGAATGTAAAATAAGTCTACATATTATAGCTAATCAAAGGGGGTAGAATGTATTTGCAGAAGGATACAATAAAAATGAAGTTAATTTTTAATTGTGCCCTCAATATTGGTTATTTGCTATAAACTTGTATGTATGTGCGTTGTTAAAACATATGTTTGTCGTTAATAATTTATTTTCGTTAATTTTGCTACACTTGACAGCTTTTATTCACAGAATAAAATTGAATTTTCCTAATAAATACATGCATGTACTTTTGTCTTGTGCTGCAATTGCTTATAAATATTTCGTGTTAATGCTTTTTGATATTAAAGTGACTTCATAATTAAATCTTCTAATTGCTTAGTGTCAAATTGTGGTTTAGCCGCGCCCTGCGATGCTGTGGAACTGAGCCAATATTCGGATGCTGCTATATAGATGGCTACAGCTGCGCCCACAATATAGGCGATGTGTGTTGAACTTTGGAAAATGACACAAGTGGCGATGCATAGGCCAAAATAAGTAAGTAAACGTGTGATATTAACGAATTGGTCGCGTTGATCGGACGACTCATCTGTTGTATAAACAAAGCGATGTGCGAGTACGTATTTAATATATAAAATTCACATTGTTTTCGCAGGTGAAAATAGAAATACAGAAATGCATAGAAACAATAGTTAAAATTAGTAAGATTCAAGTGTGCTTAAGCAATAACTTATATTAAATAAAACGCAACGATTCGAGACATGAATTCATTATTAATTTTATACTTATTTTAAAATATACGTACCTAGACATTTCCCCTCTTTCAACGTATATCCGGTAGAACATTTTTTACACATATCGGGCCCATCACCGTCACAGCCATCGCACGACCGATCGCATTCCAGGCATGAATATGTGCCCTCATCGTTCACACAGAACTGATTGGGATGACAAGGTCGTTTCTGAACTAAGCATTCATTTATATCCTGGCAACCGACTGGATCGGTGCCCATTAGCCAACCTTCTTTGCAGTTACGGCAAGCTGCCGTACGTAAGGGGAAACAATTATTAATACTCAATGTATTTAAGAAACATTTTCACGTACCTTTGGGACCAGCGCCAGTACATCCAGTATCCCCGCAAGACCTGTGGCATGTGGAACATAGCATTTTCTTCCCATCGTTGTAAGCTTCATAATAATTAGCCGCGCACGTATTACAATTATCACCTGTGAAACCAGCATCACAAGCGCATTTCCCATTGCCTTTCCGTGTGCCAGATCCTTTACATTTTCCTATTGTAAAATATTAAATTATTATTGTAGCGGTTATCCAGACCCTGTGTAGGTAATAAGACGTAAGTGGATTGTCATCAAGATCATCTAACGGGAAACACAGGAAACGTAAGGTTTCCACAGAATCAGACCATGGGGAGAGGGTTGTTAAATAAATAGGTTTTATAGCGCAAGCAAAGAGGGACTTAGAGTCATGCGGGGATCGATTCTGGATAAGTAGGAATTTAACCTGCTACAGTATTCAGAACGAAGTTAACTCTAGATTCGCGAGACAACTCGAGCTCATCGTCTACAATGTGTCGTGTGCGTGTCTGAGGTCAGTTTCGTCAGTAGTATGGTTGTTGTTGTTGTGGTCGCAGCCACAGAATTCTGCCGAATTGACAGTCTTGGCCGGATAAAAAACCAGGGTCCGCTCCATAGTATGTTCTGTATATTATGCTATGTCGTCGACGTAATCAAGGAATGATTTTTGATGCTCCTAGAAGGTGGTTTCACTCCAAAGAACTTATCCTAATAATCTCACCACTTGATTAAACTCACCATTGCCATTGCAATCAGTGCACTGTTTGCATTCCGAGCCGTAATGATCATCTGGGCAACACACTTTCAATTGTTCAATGCAAAACCAGGCGTGCAAGTCGGGCATATCGGTTTGTTTATGCAAGAACCATTCCTCCAGCAAAGGTTCATGATCGTTGGCCATAGTATGGCATTGATCTTGCCCACGTCTCACATCACTACATAATTGTTCTTGCACCTCCACCAAACGTATTTCACTAGTTTTATATGAACGCAGTTTCTCCTCTTCCCAAGCCGCATCTCCACCTGCATGTTTACCGCGGCTTGTTTTCTCCAAACCCTTCATACCAAAACATACAATATTACTAACAAAATAATTAATTAATAATCGAAATACCTACCAGCTTGAATGACTCTACAAGTACGGTGCACGATTTACAAGGTGGCAGCTTTGACGACTTTTCCTTTTGTTCCAGTGGATTCTTATCAAAACCTTTCACAGCGCCGCAATTGATTGCCAGCAGCAGCAGCATACTAAGTAGGTGTAGCATTTGAACTCCATACATTTTTAACTTACTTTTTATGCTACGCGGCAGTTAACGTTGAATTAACAAAATTTAATTATTATTAAATGGTTTACGTGGATTTTACTTATCTCTAATGTCCGAAGCACCAATATTTATATGCATCAAGCTATCTTCCCAGACTTATCGGCTTTTCTGACAGCTGTTTATTTTACGTGTACATATGATACACATGGTTGCATTAGCAGAGAGTGGTGCACAAGAATTTGCACTCCAAACAATAAATGTATTAAAATGAATTAAAATAGAAATGAACACTATTAATTTATATACATATACAATAATCTAATATATAATTTTATATGCATATAATAAGAGTTGGTTGATTTACCATTAACATGTTAGGATATTCAAACATGACAGTCAAAATTTCTGGAAGCATTACAGCACTGTTACAGGAATGTCAAGTGGAAGCGGAAATCGCGCGCGGAAATAAATATAGACGCTTTAGTTCGCTTTGAAATGAAATAGTGTTATCTAAATAAGTTAAAATGAAAAATGTGTATACATAAATGTTGATTTGTGAGTTTTAAATTATTAATTACAAGTGATATTAGGTGTTAAAGAGTCTAATGTTTATTTTTTCTGAAATTTGTGTTGTGAGTAGTGTGTGGTTAGAGCTTCTATTGAATGTGAAAAATATCCATATATATTATTAGTGAAAGAAATGAAATACAAAACTCGACAAACCTGTAATGGAGTCAACAATCAGGTATGGAAATGTTTATTTACTATGGTTTAATTCTTAAATACATCTTCGTGGTCAAATAGGCCTGCAAGAAAGGCTCGCCCTCATCTTAAATATTTGTCATAACCGTGCAGGCACTGAGCAACCGGAAACGTATTCTAAGCGAGCAGCAAAGACTGTGTCTAGTGCTATATGTGTATATGTATGTACGCATTATATTTTGTTTGCTACTACAGCTATGAATCACAGAAAACAAATACGCTGCTTGACTGAGACTGAGACTACTCACTTTTTATGGTTTTCAACAATTTCACACATTTCGTCAAAGTTTCAGTTGTATGATTTTCTTTTTTATTTCTTGATAAACTTTCGAGTTACTACGCTTAGATGATGATGATGACGAATATTTGATTCGTTCCCACAACAGTCGGGTCTACGTACCGGAACGGTCCCGGATTTATTCCGGCCAAGGACTGTCAACTCGGCAGAATTCTGCCGGTACAACAACAATAACAACAACGAATATTTGATAGAGGTAAATATCTGCGTAAATCACGCGTTATCATTTGTTTATACCATAAACTACACCATATTTGTTTTCCAAATTAGCAAAATTTGCTGATAAGTGGCGCCCTTTACGCCTTCGGTGTGCTTCAAAACATTCAAACCAAATATTTATTCAATTGGCTTGTTGTTGTTGTAACGCCACAAAAGATTCCACAAATAATATTGAGGAATACTAACACAGCTAAACCCGGTTTCGTTTCGTATGATGCGTTATTGTAATTAAAAATACGAATTATTCCTTTTGTTGTACACATTCGTACGAAATTTTATTGTTTGATCTGATATTTATTTAAATTACTTTTTTCATCTCTGTATTACATTTACATATGGTGAAAATAATTGAATGCTTCAATGTATTTGTGGTTATGTTCATAATGTCTTATTTTTTATATAATGTATAGCTTCTTGCTTTGACGTTTGCATTCGTGGCACTTACGTTTAGCATACAGAGGCAATAAAATTGTTTCACATTGGTATATTGAAGTTTTATTATGATTATTAAATTTTAATAAATACGATTTATTTGATAGAGCTTTTGCTTTTGCTTCTGTTTAAAAATAAGTAGCGTTACATTATTGCAATTTGTATATATGTATTAATTTATCATAATTTTTTTCAAAATTTCGAACAATTTTTTTTTTTTGGGTTACGCGTACTACAAATTACGTAGGATTGACAACATATACTGGTATACTATAGAAACTCTCACAGACGCGCCACATCATTTTACATCACACAAATTGAAAATAACATTTTGCTAACATCGAATACAAAAATGTTGATAAACAAATTACATTAAAACGGTTGACACGTGTGAAGAGAACTTGAATTGGGATATTTCGTTTCATATTCCGGTTAATTTTAGACAGCTAAAACTAAATTATATTAATTAATAGTTAAGAGGAACGCAAAATCACGCAAAATCACGCTTGTTTTGGTGATTTGCATACACTTTTAGCTAAATTGCCTTCACATTTTCCTCTTTTGTAATTATTTGCAATTGATTTCTCTCATGCGCACACACATGAGAGAAGGAAAAAGCCAATTAAAATGAAAATAATTAAATTAACAACTAATAATTACGCAACTTTACACTTTTTAGCACACGGTGGCTGTGTTAGCTGATCAGCACCGGCGTCTAGTCAATTGATCTGCAGCGGCTTTGCCTGTTCCCACGTGAAACCGTCACGTCCAAAGTGTCCATAAGTGCTTGTGCGCTGGTAGATTGGCTGTCTGAGTTTCAAGTCTCTATTGATTGTAAATACAAAACGATATTCATGAATATCACACACAATATTATCAAACAATGCCGTGCAAACTTACTTGACAATCATGCCCGGTCGCAAATCGAAATTACGCTTAACAATATCGAGCAATTCTTTTTGTGACTTGTGAGAGGTGCCATAATCGAAGACGGTAATTGAAAGTGGCTCTGCCAAACCGATAGCATACGAAACTTGCACCAAGCAACGTCTGCAAAGTCCCGCTTTTACCAGCGATTTGGCTACCCAACGCGCAGCATATGCAGCCGATCTGTCTACTTTTGTAAAATCTTTGCCCGAAAAGGCACCACCGCCATGTGCGCCCCAACCACCATAAGTGTCGACGATAATTTTGCGTCCGGTCAAACCGGCATCACCCATCGGTCCGCCAATTACGAAAAGTCCGCACGGATTTATATGCACAATTGTGTTCTCATCGAAATATTTGGCTGGAATGACTTCTTTGATGACCTTATTCATGACTTCTTTGCGCAAATCCTCCAAAGCGATCTTCTCCGAATGCTGCATGGAGACGACAATGGTGTGCACACGCTTCGGCACAGCGGCACCCTGGTTGAAGAGATACTCGCAAGTGACCTGTGTCTTTGAATCGGGACGCGCCCAACTGAACTCGCCCGAACGACGAAGCTCGGCCAATTTCTCATTCAATTTGTGTGCCAACACCACAGTTAAGGGCATGCATTCCTCGGTCTCATCGGTGGCATAGCCAAACATGATACCCTGCAAAAATTTACATTTCTCCATAAATACAAATGCTTGAAGTATTAGCAAATAAAAAACATGCAAAAAGCAGAAAGCGTAAAAGTGGTAGTTAACAAAGGCAACATAAACAGTTATAGTGTTAGTAGAAGTGCAACTAAGTAAACAACAATAAGTACAAAGCATAATGAGTATATGTGAAAATGAACTAAGCAGCTTTATAAGAAGTCGGAGATTCAAAATTTTTATTGAGTGAGTAAAATTTGGCCCAATACAACGAATTTTGCTTTAATTGATTGATTGAATTTCGGTATAAAATTACGAATTAGCATTAATCTACAACTTGTAAATGGTTTGCGAAATTTACGATGCTACAAATTAAAATACAAACACCGAGTCCGTGCACAAATGCCAATAGTATGTGTGTATGTGAAGCACGTTAAAATGCATGAATATCATAGAATTTCAATACAAATGTTTCTTGGAAAATTTTATGCAAAAAAAAACTACTTCATACATATGTAAATCGTGCTTCAAATGTACTAGATTATCTTTGACTGTGAATGTGTATATGTTTTGCGCGCGAATATGCTGATGACGTCGCAATAAAATAATAATGCACTACGATTTAAATATTTTACTTTTAGCAAAAAAATACGAATAAAAATTTATGCGAAAAAACCAAACACGTTCAATTACATTTGTTAAAGTACATAAGAAAAAAATAAAGGATAAGCAACAGAAACGCATTGAGATTATTCGTAAACACGTTCACACCTGGTCTCCGGCACCGATTTCTTCATCGGCACGATTTATATGCACTCCAGCTGCGATTTCCGGCGACTGTTGGTCCAATGCTAACAAAACGTTGCACGTTTTATAGTCAAAGCCTTGATTTTCATTTAAGGGGTTAATTTTTTGATTTTGCATAAAATAACGATATTTTTGAAACGAAAAAAGAGAAATGCACACAAAATAGAATTTGTTGTTTTTATATTTTTGTTTTTAACGATTTCTTAGGTATGCAATCAAATCAGGTAGAGATTTCAATGCATAAATGGGGCACTTGAGGGCTTTTTTAAAAGGATGAGCAGGTTTCGTATCATTTTAGTTATTCAAACATTTTATTAACTACGCAATTAGTTTTAACCGTTTTTTTTTCACAGACAATTCTTAATTTATATATGCACTGTTAGTGGGCGTCATTTATTTAATTGAAATCTGCGCCTGATGATAGCATTTTCCTCAATTACTATATATACAGTTATAGAGATAAATTCGTAAGAGATAAGTAATAATAAGTTACATAATTGTATGTATGGATATTTTCGGCGAGTTGGACAACACAACATTAACCCAGCTCAAAGCAGAACGCTTTGAAAGTTCGTGAAATGAATGTAGACCCCGAATACTAAGCATGCGCTTTTTCATTTCATTTTAGAATGAGTGAGAAACCATGAGCGGATTTGTTGCAGCCCTGTGAACACTGTGGCAACGTCACAGCGCACACTTTAGCACTTGCTGTTTAATTTAACCTCCAGTTATTTTAAATATTTTTAGTCTTTTTGACATGCATTATTCTTTGACGCAAATTTCACTTTGCACAACATTATTTTGGCTATCGTTTAAATTTCTCTTTCTTCTATTTGGTCAATTGAAATTATGAGCAGTATGTATGATAGGCCAGCCAGTTAAACAACAACAAAACAAACTCCGTTTTTTGTAAGAAATTTAGTTAAATTCCAATACCTGGTCACCAGCGCCTAAGTCTTCTTCGTCGCGATCGACATGTACACCGTTGGCAATATCGGGTGATTGTTGCTCGATTGCAACAAGTAAATTACATGTTTTCCAATCGAAACCTTGAGAATTTTACAATGAATGGAATTTCGTTTAATATAATTGGGTCCAAGTGGATGTTTAACCATTATATAACGCGTATGCGTGTATTTTTTTTTTGTTTTTTTTGTACTGAAAATTTGCGCAGTGTCTATAACTCAAACGATAACTTACCTTTCGATGAGTCGTCGTAGCCAATGTGTTTGACTGTGTCACGCACGACCTTTTGATAGTCGATCACGGCCTGCGATGTAATTTCTCCGCACAGCAAAATCATACCGGTCTTGGCAACGGTTTCTGCAAAATTCAAAGGCAAATAAGCATAAATCAGATTGTGTTCAAACTCAAGTCTAAATATACAATATATAAATAAAGTCGTTATTTGCATTCGAGTACTTGGGTTTCACATTGATAACGTAAATATTTATGAATTGTCTTCGTGTCGTGTAATAAAATTTCAAACCCAAAACAAATTGCAATTTTTGAGCGAGTTCTTGGCTTTTTACAACTCTATTTACAACGCGCTTCATATTGCATACAAATCAACAAAGCACAAAAATTAATTATAGCTGTGAAAATGTAGCCACGCTATACATATAAACTATGTGTTAAAATAAGTTTGCGGCCATTATGTTTATTTTCGTGTTGAGATGACGAGACTTTTGCGCACGCGTTGACTTTGCGTCACCACAAAAAGAGCTATAGCTTAACGGGTGACGAAGGGAACACCGCTGGAAACATTGCATATAATTCTGACTCGGATGATCATGGACTGTTAGTGCTTCTCGCATAGCTATTTGTGCTGCTTTATTTATTTAGCAATACAATTATCCTACTACAAGCTCTCCTACAACTCAGTCAGCCGCGCAGGTTTCACTTCTTTATTTTTTTACTAGCTCATAATAACAAATAAATGCGTGGGTCAGTAAAAAGGCCAAAGCAGTGAAATTAATTTTGGTTAGTGTCTGCAGACCCGAAAGGCTAGCAGCATTTATACGGTATCATGAGGTGATGAATCGAAATTTTTAATTTTTTTTTTAATTTTAAACTTAATGTCAGCTGAAGTTGCTTTAGTACAAGGAAATCCTGAAATTTGTCATAACACTGTGACTTAAAACAATGCTCATAAATAAGTTGTAAAGTATAAAATACGAATATATTACCACAAGCCACTTTTGCGTTGGGATCCTGCGACAAGTGTGCATCCAAAATAGCGTCACTGATTTGATCGCACATTTTATCTAAAAATAGAAAATAGAACAGTGGAAATAGTGAATATATGTGTATGCAGTGTGTGACATTTCTCTGTAGGTACTTTATAAAGTACATATGTAACTATGCAGAATATTTATATACAAACGTATGTAGGTTAGGATAAACATCAAATAGTAGGAAATCCTAATTTAGTGCAAAGGCACACATAAATTAAAACATACAGCGAAATTAAATAATAACTCTTAGTAAAAACACACATATGTAGGTATTTTACTTAAGTATAACAAAAAAAAAATTGCGCTGGACAGTTGGTTGTTCTTCAATATATATTAATCATTTTGATGCTGTTCTAGAAGCAAAAGCGTGGGCGCTCTGTTTATGAATAAATAGCTTTTAAAGGAGAACAAAGGTAACATTTTTGCAAAATTAAACTAATTCCGCTATAATTATAGATCGCAAACTAATTGATGCATTTGCATTATTTGTTGCTAACTCTGATCTGGGTTTGAAAAAAAACAATTTTAAAACAATAAAAAAAATAAAATCGCCTCTAAGTTGTTTTTACGACAGTATTTACACATAAATTATGGTGTAAGCATGTGTATAGCGCTCAAAATTAATGACGTCGGTATTCGGACACACGCGCATTTCAATCGCATGGTTACATATACTATGTACACACAAAAAACAGAGAAAATGACCAAGGAAAATAAAATTTAGCCAAAATATAATTAAACGTTCGGTCAGCGAAATTCAATGCCAAAGTGTCTATGCAGCATAAATTGAAGATGTGAATAGATATACTCGTACACAAAAGCGACATAAAGAAAATATATACATTAGTATATGTACGTACGTATGTACACACAGAGTGCAGAGTCGTGCGATCCTGCTCGAAATGTGGAGTATATGCTCGCGTATCAAATTGGGCGCGTGCAGCGTCGAAGCGGCACAAGTGTGTGATTTGAAACCGTCGCCGTATAGTATGACGCTCATACATAACTACTTATAAATTAAATATCTAAAAAATATTATTCAGCAAAATTTATCAAAACTTTACACATTAATATTTATAACAGAGTTTGCAATTTTTCAGCGCCAGACATTTTAGGTTTTTAATAAAGCAATAGAAAAAATTATTGTATTACACAATGCGGACAATATTAAATTGCATATACAAATTTATCGTATATATTTATAAAGTATCGATTTACATAGATTTTATTGCGGCGCCGTGAAATATTATATGTTTAGGGACAATGATTCACAGTAATAAGCAACTTTGCTTTAATAAGTTTAATACAAAATAATTTTAAATCCATAACTCTCAGAAAATAATAACAATTCAGCTTAATTAATTTCAATTGTTGGGAATATCCTGGTTAAATTGGTCGTAATTTACGTTTCTATTTGATTTCTTTTTCTGTATTTTTACGCTGTCATAATATAGTTTTTGAGAATCCCTATCTACAACGTATTTTCCAGAGTAAAATGTGGTTGTTTCTACTTCGTAAGTCTCGATTATGAATATTTTAAATAACAAATAGAGTGTACTGTACTATCAGGGTATTTGTACTCTGCTAAGATTAGCTATTGAATAATAACTTGTTATGTATATATGTATAAAAAAAAAGTTGCTTTAAAGCGCAAAATGTTGTGGTAACCTCAATTTTTGTGATCATCGAGTTTGTAATCAGTTCGAGAAAACTTATGCCCTTATCAGCTCTACTTCCCGCTACTTCTGGTTTACATAATATAAATAAATGTGTATGCTTAGAGGTAATGATACATCAACAGCTGAGCTATGGAAAGTATCATCAACTGACGACAGAACGCAATAAACTACATCAGCTAATCATTGGTGTGCCAACTGAGAATATTTCAACCACGTGGTTTCTGTGTAATGGCAAAGCTCAGCTTTGCATAGATACATACATATGTATTTAGTATAATTTTCCTAAAAAAAAAAAAAGACGGAAGTCAGGGCGACTAGGCTGGTCGCTGGCGCCGTTTTCCAAATCTTGGTCTTCAATTCATACAGATTTAATCAGGAAACTTTGAAATATATTGCGATATATATATAATATAAATCTATAACGAGTCACGCTAAAGGGTGAAAAGAAATAATAAAACAAAAACTATAATGAGCGCGCAATAAGCAGACAATCGATGGGGGTTTTGGGAGCATTCAATGAGCAATATATCAAAACGTAGGCAAAGCTGTAGCGAGAGTGTTTCGTTTAAATATGCTTATGCACGAGCACCTCGGTGATATTGAAATGCCAGAGAGCACTGAGAGGGAGCCATAAGTCATAGGAGCTTTGGCCAAGCACATGGTGCGCATGAATAACACAAACACGCTTTTGTTTTTCTTTCAATATACATATATTCGTATGACCAGCTGTTGGAAATGCAATCCTATGTTAATTCACGTGGATATTTAAGTGCCGAAGATGTAAACAAATATCAAAGATAAAAATATGTAATCTTATATGCATATGCTCGACGACGTCAGAACCATTGCCAACAATTTTCATCTATAAAAACAATATTTGTATAGAATCTACTAGAGACATTCACCAGCAAGCGCCTACCTGGTCACCCTAAATGTGAATATTCTTGGGAGTTAATTTTGCGTTTGTATGCTCCGCAAAACACGCGTTCTCGGCAATACGAAACACATAACACAAGGGAAACAAAAACTCTCACTGCTGCAAGAATTATACTAAAGAAATATAAAAATCATTAAACAAATACATATTTTTAGTTCAAATGACAAAATTCAAACTACGTTCGATGCCCGATAGTTTTACAACAAAAAAACACGTTTCATTTTTGCTCGTCAAAATTACAATCAAGAACATACCGTTCATGAAATGCCGCAGGTAATAAAACAAAAGCTAAGGGTCGTCGCGGGATAGTGTAATGTAATATAGCCGAGGACCATGCTAAAGATAATACAGCGCGGTTGAACCAGCGAACATGTACTCGATATCTAGAGAAGAATGAGACGCCGCCATTTTGTAGGAGCTCCATGTGAGCGGCGGAGAAGAAAAAATAGTAAGACAGGACAAACATTAAAAACTGCAAATTATCTTTGGAAATATCACATGTAATTTTAGCTTTCAGAAACATTCGTGGAATCGTAATTTATGGTTACTTTTCGTGACGCAATCAAGTGGCCCAATAAGAGATGAATCGCTAGATTTCAAAAACTGTCGAAGTATTTGGAAGAATTTATCATTTACCTGTATCGCATATGTGCAGCGTCAAATTTTTGTTAGAGAGTAGAAACTGCATACACAAAAACGGCTCATTATGCACATTCTTACATAGAAAGCAACTTAAACATATTTACTTAACATTTCACAATTATTTAATTATTTTCAATATAATAATACTTACCGGGATGTCCCTCGCCTACTGATTCGGAAGTAAATAGGAATGTCTGTCCATCCTCCATGTCATAGGAATCGGTTGTCTTTCCATTGCAGCCATTGGAGTGACCATTTGTCGCAGCTGATGATAGTGGCATCTTGTTGATTCCAAGTAACTTTTTACGATTGTATGAGGGGAAATGCTGTTGAAGATTAACAAATGATGAAAATCTTGTTGTTTTTGCAATTCTAGAATGCAGGTAGAAACAAATTGATTTTTCGCAAAGGAAGTAGTGATTTTGTATTGGAATGAAGTTGGTTGAACTGGCAGTGGTGTAGGCGCCAGTACGAAATGCCGATATCAAATTAACACTAAGCTTTTGAAAAAAAATTTTGCAAATTACAATCTGCTGCCCTCCGTATTTATTTATGTAACACAGTATTTTGCGTGAATTCGCCGTGAGGAATCTCAATTTTACACTAAGTTGGCACTCCGTATAATCACTTGGCTGTTTCCTATATTTATCGTATTTTCTATTGAACCTTTATTTTTGACTGCCTGTTTTTAGGTAGTTGACTGCTTACTTTTAGTTGGTTGTCACACACACACAATTCTACAACACAAAATTGCGATCAATTCGGCCAGAAGCAGAAAACACGTCCGCACTTCTTGACGGTTGGGTAGAAAAAGAGCGATACCTATTTGCTACTCTCAGAATTTATATAGCAAAAAGCAGACCATCAACAGCAGGAGCGGTGAAGACGGCAGCGATGTTCGTTATCGCTACTATTCCGAATATTGCTGTAGGCTACGAAGCAGACTGCCAAGACTTGCCGGCGGAGGTTAAAAGTTGTATATGTAATTTCCCTTGGTGATAGCTATCCGCATTTAATCATCTACTTTGTTTTTATTCGTGCTTTTCGTCGTTTGTTACTTTTGTTGGTTTTCTTCCAGCAAAAGCAAAAATACAGAAACTGCCTAAACAAAGTATTTTGAAGATGATAAGTTTACTTTTTCTACTTAAAGACGATAATTTTAAAATCGAGTTTTCCGATACCGCTTTAGAGTTGCAAATATTTGGTATTAACACCATATTGCCTAAAACGCTATTGTCAATAAAAACTTTGTTGTTAAATAGTAATACAAAATTTATATGTAAATCATGCCATTACATTATACAAATTTGTAATGTTTAAAATATTCGATTGAGTATATTAAAAAGCCCACTACAGTCAAATTTCTACTTATACTCATATATCACAAAAGAATATTGTTTTCAAATGGAAATTGGAATTTTACACACATCCGGTTACTTCTACTTCACAACTAAAATGTTCTTTTCTTTTTCGTTCTTAAGTTTCATTTAAGTTTGTAGTTTTAGATATTTGTATTACAAGTAATTTGAATTTAAAAATATACAGAAGGTTTCACTTTTAGTTTCTTCTTCCATTGTTTTCGAAAAATCAATTCGTATGATAATTTGAAACTTTTGACATCAACTTACTCTGAGTTAGCTCCAAAACAGACTGAAGCGTTATGCTTATCATCCTATCATTTATATACCGTCCTTATAATTATATATAAATTTTTATAGAAATTATCAGCTCTTTCCGAATTTGAATGAAAATTGTACTTTTTTTTTATTAACAAACGGATCTTTAATGTGTGTATGTACATCATAGAGTGATAAGCCCGGTTTTAGTTTTTATTAATAATAAAACTGAAGCATTACAACTTTGGCGGATGTTTGGCCAACATTCTCGTATATTTAGGGTTTGATATAGAAAGTCATCTTGGCAAAGGAAACATTTGCTGGTTTTTAGAAAACTTCCTCATATTTTGTATTTTGAATATTTGACATTGGCTGTTCATCGACGATTACTTAACAACAAGATTGTTTGATGCCGCAAAACGAACATACGACCCACCGAGTCGTATTCATACACTTCACCTTCTTCGCTTTGGGGACTGTTACTGTTTAGTGGATATAATAAATTGTTAATGACTACTGCTTGGTGATTAATTTACCAATGTCATTGTCCTGTAAAAGTAAACGAAATGCGTCAATTAACAAACTTTTAGGTAGAACGAAATTTTATGTATCTCCGGAAATGAGTAATTGCGTATCAAAAAATCCAGAACAATTATATTTAAAGATTTTCGCAAATACGATTTTGTTTCTATTAATTTAATGCGCCTTGTATTTACGTATTTACCTATTTCTGTATTGAAATATTTTTTGCTTTCGCCTATTGATCTTATTTCAGATCTTATTCAAGATCACGCATGTGCACTCTTAAGTCTATTGTGCAAATTATATACGGTTTAAGTAAACAGAAACATCTCATTATGAAGTATTATCATACACCAAAATATTTCTTATCTCAAACTATGTATTCCGAAATCTTCAAAATGTGACACCTTTGTGAACTTCCTTTTGAGGAGCGTGAGTGCGGATGTTATTTAAAGTTGTGATAGATGTATGACAGCAGCAGCGTGAGCGATTGGATGTTCTGATTACTGGTAAAAACTTTTTTTGAAAAACATATGACTTTTATAATTAGGGATCAAGAAATATAGAAATCTAAATTCCGTATTTTCATAGTTACGTTTAATTATTATCAATGCACGTAGACTATTAATCAAAATAGAAATACAACATCTTGAAACCACGTATCAATACATTTAAAATTTAAATGAAAATAATCGTTTTGTATGTGTTATCAGTCAATGCTAGGCACGTTTTTGCCAATGGGACACTTTGATGTTTTCTTAAACGCTTTAAAAAACATTTTCCACATAATTTAATGAGTTCATTATAATTTAATTTTATTTTGCAATGCATATTGCTTTTTCTATGTTGTTGATGCTTTCCCTTCGCACGAACGGGCTTCAATAATCGGAATTTGCCACTTATTGCAAGAAACTTAAAGGATGAAAACTAATGAACATATACCAATTATTTACAGTTTTCTACAATTTTTTTATTTTCAAAATCACATAATAATATTGAAATGTGATAAAATTTAAAGAATTTGCAAATAAAACAATCGATAAATTAAACGTAAATTTATCGACGTTTTAGAAAAGTTATCTAATAGAAAAGTGAATTGTTATAAATTTTAAAGTGAAATTACGGCTCTTTAATAAGTTATAATCAAAAATCCGGTTAAATTAATAAATTGAACAATGTTGGAGCATAAATTTACGATCGACTGTCGTGTCCAACGACGAACGATTGGTAAACAAATAGTGAAAAGCAAACAGAACTACACAGGTGATTATTGTGGAAATGTGAAGTGACGTGTTGACTTTGTTTTTGTGACAGAAAAGTGGTGGACGGTGGAATTTTCTTGAATAACGCGAATTTTCTCAAAAATTATTTCAATTAATAAAACTAAATTTATTTGATGGCAAAGACGGAAGGAGCAAGAGTATGAATCAATTGCAGATATCGAAAAAATCTTGGACAATGTCTATGCAAAAACGTATTGTTTATATACTCACGCTTGCGATTTGTGTTTTATTATGCAGCGTAATTGCAGACTCAAGTGATATCAATGTCGTCGAGAAATCAGTAATCAATAGCAGCTCAGTAAATAATACAATACAATCAGTCGAATCAATCTCTGTTCAAAATACATCATCTGGTCAGAATGATGGTGGTAACAATGGCGCACAAAGTATAGCCACTATAGACGTGCAGAATGCTTTGAAAATAAATACTACAACTAACCAACTAAATGTTCCAAACGCAAACGCAACTAAGGATCTAATAGATAACACAAGTGCTACCAAGGAAATTCAAACAAACAAGACAACTACTACAACAGTGTCTTCTGCAAACGTTACGCAAAATGTGACAACACCTACCGCAGATCCACCACTACCAGATCAGCATGCTGTGGAACAAGAACACAATTCTTCTTTGTCTATTTTCTTCGTAATCTGCGTTATTATGCTTGGAATTTTGCTGATACATTCAATGCTACAGACGGGATTCCAATATTTACCAGAAAGTATTGTTGTAGTGTTTCTGGGAGCACTCATTGGGCTTTTACTCAAAGTTATGTCGGGCGAAAATGCTAGTTGGAAGCGAGAAGAAGTGTTTTCCCCAACAGGATTCTTTCTGGTCCTACTACCGCCGATCATATTTGAATCTGGTTATAATTTGCATAAAGGCAACTTTTTCCAAAATATTGGTTCTATATTAGTATTCGCAATATTTGGCACAACAATCTCGGCACTGGTTATAGGAGCTGGCTGTTATCTGCTAGGTGTAGCAGAGGTCGCTTATAGGTAAGTAATTATGGAATAATAGAATTAAATGAACAGAAATACATATGTGTTGCCGTATGTGTGTATAGGTATATCAGTGATAATTATTTTTAATTAACTGAATCATGCACACATATATATTAAAATAAATGAGCCAAAACAAATAATAATTTATTGTTTAGGTTGGACTTCTCCGAATCATTCGCCTTCGGTTCGTTGATATCAGCGGTGGACCCAGTAGCAACTGTTGCTATATTTCACGCATTGGACGTAGATCCCATACTAAACATGTTGGTGTTTGGTGAAAGCATTTTGAATGACGCTATCTCTATTGTACTGACCACCTCAATTACACAGTCGGCTAACACACCTGCAAATACGCAAGCAACAACTGGTCAGGAGATCTTTGCAGCGCTTAAAACATTTTGCGAAATGTTCTTCGCTTCTGCCGGCATCGGTGTCATTTTCGCGCTCATATCGGCTCTGCTATTAAAACATGTTGATCTGCGCAAACACCCATCACTGGAATTTGCTATGATGTTGATGTTCACCTATGCGCCCTATGTATTAGCGGAGGGCATACATCTGAGTGGAATTATGGCCATACTATTTTGTGGCATAGTCATGTCTCACTACACGCATTTCAATCTTTCCACCGTCACACAAATAACAATGCAACAAACTATGCGTACGCTATCTTTCATTGCTGAAACCTGTGTTTTCGCATATCTGGGCTTAGCAATATTCTCTTTCAAGCATCAAGTAGAGCTATCCTTTGTGATTTGGTCGATTGTGCTGTGCTTAATAGGGCGAGCATGTAACATATTCCCACTAGCCTTCTTGGTTAATAAATTTCGTGAGCATAAAATCACCAACAAAATGCAGTTCATCATGTGGTTTTCCGGTTTACGTGGTGCCATTTCATATGCTCTCTCTCTACATCTGGATCTGCCAAATGACGAGACGCGCCGAGTACTCATCACTACAACACTAATTATTGTGCTCTTCACAACACTGTTTTTCGGTGGATCCACCATGCCGCTATTAAAATATCTCAAACCTGGCAAAAAGCGTCGTTCACGCTCCGGACGTAATGCGAATTCGGTAACTGTAGCACGACGAAGCGCCTCGCGTTCACGAAAACGCTCCAAATCCATTTCATTATCGAAGACACGTGAATGGGGGCAAGCTATTGATTCAGAGCATCTGTCCGAGTTGACTGAGGAAGAAGATGTGTCATTCGCTCAAACGCGCGTCGGTGGATTCGGCCGCATGGATCGCAAATTTTTCATACCATTCTTTACGCGTCGCTTCAACAGCCAAGAGCTACATGAGTGCAAATCGCAAATGGCTGATTTGACCAACAAATGGTATCAAGCGATACGTATCAGTCCACTGGATTCGGACGAATCGGATGAGGAACTTGGCATGTCGGCGAGCACGAGTCAGAGCACATTGAGTGCGCCTCGCACCTAAATTCTAAGTTGGAAAAGTCAGGATATTACACGTACACATTTGCCAAATGAAAGCTGGGATTTTTTTTTGTCTAGTTCAAAGTCATAAAGCTAGTAATTTAAGAGTCTAGTGAAAATATTTTATTTCTTATACATTTTATTAAATAGCATTTATTTCTGCACGCGGTGTGCTGCAAGGCTCAAACGAATGGTGGCGGGTTTCAAAATGTTTTTTTTTTTTTTTTTTTTGTTAAATTACTGTTATTGATTTTATTTATAAAAATATATATTTATATGCGAAGAACGTGCGATATGAGTGAGCTATGCTAAGCATAACAAATTTTCGCTTTCTAAACGCCAACTTCAACTAATCTTAAGTTATAAACTTTCAAGTATTTTTATGTCGCAATTAGCGAAACTATTTGCTTTAACTTAATGAACAAATGCTTCAAGCTAACAGGCCTGTTCATGACCAAACTCTACGTTGAATTGCATTTAAGCTTGAATGCAGCCATATTCAAACTTAAACACGTGCCCTTATTTAAGTGAATGTTCCAAATTTGTGTCATTCGCCGCCTATTTTTCATGCACTAATTTTTTTAAGCGCAAAGTTCTCACCAAAGAACACTAGTAATGTAATTATATACAAAAGTGAATGTATTAAAAAATGTTTTTAACAATAACATGTGTATATATTTTGTGATTTTTTGCAACTCAAGTGAATCGAAAACCAAAAATTGTATATTAATACATTAAATAAATATTGTAAATGACCAACCATAGCGAAAATTAAGAGCAAATAAATGTGATAAACACTAACAAACTTCCCTAATTCTTATGAAATACGCGCTATAGTTGGTCTAATGGGCCGTTTCATTCGGCACATCGCACCGTAGCCGAAGGGCATTGTCGCACGTGTGCTGAGGTAGAAGACGCCCTTCTTCGGCACAGCCGGATCGCCACCCATGAATGCAGTCGCCTGGCACCAGCGTGCACCGCAGCCGCATTTTGAGTTTTCAATGCTATCATAATTCTTACATTTAATTGCGCCAAAAGCCGACGGATTCTGCAAAGACTCCACGAAATAGTATAAAGCGCCAAAATGATCACAAGTGAAGTCTGGCTCCATTGTGGTCACATTGGGACAATGTGGTTGACCCAAACCCCAATTGGGATAGAAAGAGGCGTGTGCCAGGTTGTCAGCGGGAAAACCGAACAACGCTATATCGGTTTGTATGGACTCCACATAAACGGCATCTGTTGGTGCGAGTCGCGATTTTGCGTCCAATGTGCGATGTACGGGCCCAGAAGAGTCTAGCGCGTAGATGACACCGTATTTATCGGGTTGCAATAACTTGCCCGCCATACCGGCGATGTGACAACCAGCGCTGTGTCCAATTAAATACATGGCATTGTAGGGAACGGCAGTTTGGTTGTGTACGAAACGTGTGAATTCGTTGAGCTTGTGTGCAATTTCGGAAATTTCCACCACAACACGAAAATAATTTATATCCAACGAGTAATCCGACCAGTCAACTAAAATCACGTTGTAATCGCCCTTTGCGAGGTACGCATCTTTAATGGCGGCATTCGAGCAAGTCGTAGTTTGGCCATTCCAACCATGTATTGATAATCTAAGAAAAAATTAAGCAAGTTTCGCATTTGTAAATATGTATGTTTGCAGCAGTCGGAGGATTAGCGCAAAAGTTTCAAGAACACAAAATGCTTCATTATCCAGTGAATTTGTATTGTTTACATGTATTCAACTCACCTGACCGGCCAACTGGCGTTAAAGTTCGAGGCCAACAGCCGGTTTCGGTCGCCAGTTAACAGTACTTGTCGTTTGTGTGGATTCCGCCGTGTAAATAAATCATAACGCAATTGTTTTTGTCGCGGACGTGATCCTGGATCGAGTATTTGACGTGCCTCTTTCGAAACAAGTCCCGCTATAAATTCCACTGTAAATGGTTCGCAATAACCCAACTGGTTTTGAAATGCTGTTGGCGTGTTTTCGTCGAGGGCTAGCCGCGGTCGAACAGTGAGTCATGCCAATGAAAAGCATGTAACGAAATTTCGAAGAGCAATATGGGAAGAATATAAGTTTTTAGTATATATTTACATCTATAAGTTTATTTGAAAATTGTGTAAACACTATAATCAGAGGCATTCAGTAACCACTCGAATACAGCAGTTATTACAGTTAGGTTACTTAACAGCGTAGCATCATAAGCTCTATAATACGCTTGACTACTTAAAAATTTATAATAAAAATGTGTTATATCATTAACGCGGGGGCAACAGCGCTCATCCTTCTACGATTTCCGTAACTGATATGGAGTAATGTACGAACTTTTATTTTTTATTTTTATAAATATTTCTAGTAAATAAGAATTCCGTTGAAATTTAAATAGTAAATTTTGCATAATTTTTTTTTCTCTTAGTCTAAGTAAAATGATTAAAAAATAACAGGTATTAAAAATTCGTAGAAAATCGCAATCAAGCATCGAGAATTTTGCGGTAAAATGTTTTTGTTTTAAATAAAGTTTTTACGGCACAAACGTCGATTCTAAAAAATCTCGTTTCCTGCAACACAGTACTAGAAGCTTTAATTCACAGTATACTCAAAATTAGATATTTTATTTGTAATCACTACTGTAATCGTGTAAAAAAAATAATTCTTTAGACAAAGTGCCAGATATTTGGTTGAAAAATTAAACAGACAAAGTATAAATGGCAATATCTTTAATAATATACAAGGCGCCCACAGCCCTTAAAATACAGCTTTTTGCTAAAGGAAACTACAAATTTTTACCAAAAGGTACAAATTTAGCGCAGTTGAGCAGTTGTTGTTGTTGTAACAATTATCAAGAGCCTGTTTTGGGGGAAATCAATAGGTCAAAAGCAATCGAAGTCACTGAACGTTAGGCCCAGGAAACGAGCTGTTCATGGAGAGAGTTAAGTGAGTAGGTTGTAGATCTGTAGATACTTTCGCTTAGGTTATGTATTACCTATCCTTGTCACAAGAGTCACGAATGAACGCTGTTGGACAGCTAAGAATGCCAGTCCTTTGTGATGTCACAAATTCCTAATTATGGATCAAATTTACGATCTCACACACAGACTGCCAACCGGAAGTTATTGCAGGAATTTACGGTATTAAGTTAATCGAAAGTATGTAGATTCCAATATTCTGGTGGGTGTGCAACCATTTTAAATTTTTTTACATCATACCAATGGATGTACAAGAAACACTCTTACTTGATTTTAAAACGAAATCTCATATTTTGTCCAATATATATAGTGTAAGGTAAAATAAAAGGATTGAGGCAATTATATACGCTTTACGCAGTCTAAGGAAAGGTATGAAGCTGTTTCGCCCATTTTCTTTTGGCGTTGTTTTGTCAACTTACAAAAAAAAAAAAATAAAAATAAAATGCACCCAATTCCCAATATGAAGGAATATATATTAATTGATGACTGAGTTATAGCACTTTCGGTTGTATATATTAACGCCATTTTATGGCCGTGGCAATGGTTCGCCTTCGCATATTTCCAATACGAACACAAATCAGATTATCAAAGAGCCGCATGCGCCAAGTTTTATTAAAACTTTTGAAATTTTGTTGCAGTTATGCGTGCACAGGCGGACGGACGGCCAGTTGGACATACAAACATTCTGAAACAATTCTGCGTAACTTTTTAACTCGATTATTTTTAGGCGCTACAAACAACCGTTAGTTGTCGGGAACTATGCACAGAGTATGCTGGATTTAAGATTCCTACTCATAATTCGAGAGAATAAAAAAAAAATCACTTAATATGTATGTATGTATGTCTTTCACTTGATGGGACACATTGATAATTTCTTTTGATTAAATAAATATCAACTGAATATTTTGGTTTAGTTTGATTGCTAAAAGCTATCGGGTGCCCAGTACTTTAGTAATTGTTTAGTATTTTAAATTATTATTAACTCAATTAAAGGGCAGCTGCTCTCTTTCCGCTTATTTTTGTTTTTTTTTTGTTCCTGTATTTCTACTACAAGATTACTTCACATGCTGTGAGCATATTGGCTGCATGTAAAAATCAATATTTGTTTTTATATTTATTACAATTGCTTTTTCCACCATACTAACCGAGTACACCAGCGAAGTAAATCGCGTAAAAAAATAGAAATTTCATTTTCAACACATAAGAAAATACAATTGTTTAACTTCGTGCTTCAATTATTTAGAAGTTAAGTAATTTTTAAAGTTCTTGTGTATCAGCGACAATCCCGTTAAGACGCCTCACGCACTTACAACTGACGATGTCCTGCACGATACTGACCACAGCCAACATAAGCAGGCACTATTTTAAATTAAACCCATCACTGCTCCGATGCCGGTGTGCTCGATGCGCAGGAGAAGTGAAGCGCCACAATTCGCATTTAAGAACAAGTTTAATTGTTTTTAATATCAGCTTTTTATCGATGCGACAATGAACGGCAATAAGCTGTATTATATATATATATATATATTATATATATAATATAAATGTATGTATGTATTCGTAATTGATTTGCTTATCTTTTAATTTGGTCACCTTGATTACTAACAGCACACAATTTTTGTTGTCTAGTATTCAAGCGCTAAAGGGGAGCGCTGTAGCGGGTTTACAAAGAGAAGTGTTCTTTAGAAGTAATCCAAAGAGCGCGACGTAAGCTTCTGCGCATCCTTTTTTATGCCGACCATTAAGAGGTTGTATGGGATTTGGCGTATGAAAAACGACCTATTTTCAATAATTATTTTTTTTCATACAAAAAATGAAATATGTTATTCAAACTTTCTTGTTGATTTTGTGAAATTTTCAAAGAAAAATGTTCAAAACTCGATCATTTTCGACAGTCTCTCGAAAAAAGGTGCTTCCGCGTTGACAGCAGAATTTCTGACAGGATCATCAAAAGTAAAAAAAAAAATGTGTTTGAACTAAGACCATTAGCTGGGTATTGTGATGAGAAAAAAGCAAATAAAGTGAAAATAGTATTTTTGGCAGACGTTTTTGCAAAAAAAATGCTAATTTTGGTGCAAATTTCTCGACGTGTTTTGTTTTTTAAAAAGTTATAAATGAACAAAAAAAAAATCCTCGGCGACAAAACTTGTAATTAAATCTCAAAGATTTGTGTAAAATTTCATTGAGAACGGTTGAGTAGTCCTTGAGAAATCTGGACAACCGACTTTGAAAACACAGTTTCACCGTGAAACCCATGTAACCCATGTAACCCCTAAAGGAAAGAAAATGATTATATATTACTTATATGTAGAAGGGTGTCTCTTTAGCGTTATAAAGTTTACTATAGGCGGCCAAAGCCCACAAATGTACGAACTAAATCATTTTACACAATCTACTGTGTTTTATTTTATAAGAAAATTTCAATACTCCAAAAAACACACCGTATATTAATGACTCCTGCATTAGTATGCATTCTATATCAAGACAATATTTGTGCTTTTCTTTGCAGGTAAGTTCCAGTGTACTTTTCCATTTGCAGATATGTATGTACATACACACACATATATATATGTACAATACATGTCGATGTAGCTGTTTGAGCCGATTTACAGCGTGACTTCCTTATTACACGCATTGCCTTTAGAACTCACTATCTTTTTTTGGAGTTCACAAATGTTGGAACAGAGCAGCGGCAGAAATCACTACAGCCACTAGTATTGCATGCTTGCGATCAGTATATAAATACATACGTACATTTAAGTGTAGTTGTTGTCGTAGTTGTTGCCTGTAGACATCAATAGCTGCATGATGTCCTTGGAGTATTTATGAGGAGCATTAAATATATGAAATATGAGTTAAGGGCACGTGTTGCCTGCAAATTACTTAGCGAATTTCAATTTCAAGTCGTTGGACCAGTTTATTTTTAGTACATGTTATCGCAAAGTGCGCTACAAACTATATTTTTTACTGGTTTTTTTAAAGAATTTTTGTTAATCTGTTAAACATTTGCAACTTAATTATGAACTTAAATGCGTTTAAAACAATCTCTGCGAATCAATTTACGAAATTTCCGGTTTAACGATTTGAATTTCGTGAAATTAACGGTAGTTGTGAATAAAAACATATTCATCGAGTTCTGCCTATTGTGAATAGTTCGAAATCAAAGCTTTTTCAAATGTTAAAGCAGAGAATGTTAATAAATAAAGAAGGCGCAAACAGAGAATGTTAATGAATAATATAATAATATAAATAATAAAATTTGTTAACATTCTCTGTTTGTATTGTTTATATATAGCTCGACGCATACAGTGGTCGCTAAATGATTGAATATGTAGTTTAAAACTTATAAAAAAATTACTATCTTTGCTCATCAGTTGCTAATGTAAATAATCTATATATTTTATTTCAATAAAAATTTCTTGTGATTATTAAATTGCTTTTAAATTGTAAGAAAATATATTTCAATAATTTGCTCAGTTGAAAAGCTTTGAAATTTCTAGAGGTCTTGAAATAATATTACATAACTCTTAACTAAAAAAATTTTAAATAAACATAACTAAGAGCGTTGAGGTTACATAACGAATGAAGGCTCTATATAGGTGGCTCCTGGTCTGAATGAAGTGGTTTTGAGATGCCACATTTATTGCCTATTATGGTAAAAAAGGGTTCATTGTTTTGGTGCAGCCTTAATTTCTTCCAGCGACACATGTTTTATTTCTTGTCCTTTCTTGGTCCTTTCTGGTTTGAGCACCAGGTAAAGTTACAAGGTGTGGAATCAAGTGATTGATATAGGATTTTGTGTTATTTTTATGTTATCTATAGTTCGCGTGTCCATGTGATAAAAAATACTTTACGCTTCGGCATTCGAAGAAAACAGTAAGCAGTAAAAGCGTGTGTGTACTTTGAATCAACAACAACCAAGATGTTCTGCGTTTTAAACGTAATCAGCAATTTCTATATTGGTCTTTCCCCAACACCACTTGTTTCACATCTTTGTGATTATACGGTTAGGACTTACCATCGGCATACAGTGTGCCTACTTAGAGGAGTTTATAAATATTTTTTCTTAGAGTGTATTCACTCCAAAACATTTTCAACATAATAAAAATAAATCAAACTTTTTTCACATTACAAAATATTGCTTTATTGATACGCAAAGTTTATAGAATTACTTAAATTTAATATCACTTTAATCCACCGGTTTAAGCACTTAGATATACTCGTACATAAATAAAGATACATTCGTTAATAACTATTTTAAAATGATCACAAGGTGATACTGCGGTTTTTTAATGGCAAAACGACTATTCTATTTAAGTAGTACATAATTCAATAGTTTTCTTAAAATCGTAAGTTCCCTTCCACACTAAATGTTAATAGTCATAATAAATACTCTTTGTACAATAAGTTGGTTTTACGAATATGTAAAAAGATACCCTCGAGCACAGCTAGTAATTGTATGAAGAGAAATTGAGATACTTCACCAAGAATTGCTTTGCATATTGCACGATCACATTGTTTGTGGTTCGGAGTGAGAGTCGTTGCCGAATCATAAAATAGGCAGCTAGTGTGAATATTATATAGAAAAGCACGAGACAAGCAACCGAAAAAAAGTAGTTCAAATTCTCGAAACCGAGAATCATAAGCAAGAATTTCGACTTCTTAAACATACAGAATACTTCAGTTTCCGGACAATGTAGATCCTCACGATCGTAACCATAAAGAGCGACGACTAGACCCTCCATGCCGTGACGCAAGTAGCTAAGTTGCATCAAGTAGCGCATTACTGGGTGTATATATACCGACTTGCCATAGCCGATGCCATAACAGGAGAGTAGTATAAGAGGCACAGCGATAACCGGGCCCATGAACATGGCATTCTGTAAGTAAAGCGTGACGCGTATTAGCGCATAAATGATTAGTGACTTAGGTTATTGGGCGCTGTGTTGTTACTCACCACCAGACTAAGGCGTGATGATATTAAGAGACCCAAACTTTCCGACGTCATAGCGGTTAAAAAAGCTATCAGGAAGAGCATGCAAAATCGGAAAAGCTCCAAGGGTTGACTGGACATAATATAGACCATGATGAGGTAGATGGTGGCCAGCACGAACATAAAAGGCAATTTGGAACAGATCAGCGCGGCATAATATGAACTCAGGTGATACCACTGATTAAAGTACTCCCGTTTTAGAAATTTCATTTCGGTCGGAACTGTCGGCAAAAGCGGAAAGTTGCGTTTAGATTTTAATAACCTAAAGAAAATATCACATTATAGCTTTAAACAACGCACTTACATTGCAATAATACTGGCATCATTGGCAGATATAAATACGCAATAATTATCGTGAAAGCGAAACCGAAATTAAAGAATGCCTTTGACGCATCATCGCCCACACCTCTGTAGATGCTACCAATAATCAATGCCAGAACGATGTTCATATAGAATCGTAGCTTCATATAGGACTGGAAAAAAATAATTTATGAATTTAGTTTAAAAATATTTTAAATTTGATTTAAACATGAAAACTAACGAGACTCAAAGTTTCTTAGTTTCCGTAACATATTTAAAGAGTTGCACATACAGTCTAAACGTTAATTTCCTGGCCTTCCCCAAGAATAACGCTAATCTGACGTCAGTAATAACTACTTAATAAATTTTTTAATAACCAGTCTACCAGGTGGGTAGACTTTAGCAGAAGCAAACCTTTACCTAATCTATGCTCAACTTTCGTTTACTTAGATATATACTTTCGGGTTTAGTTCGGCATCTTTACTCCGTAAAAACCCACCTTATCGCGCCACATCTGCACCATCATTCGCGTTAGCAGCAGTTTATATTGCATCCACCAAGTTGCTTTCTGCTTCAACAATTTCGGATTGATTTCCTCTTCGAACTGCTCCAACTCATCGAAGGACGAGGCACCGGACGTTGTGTCTGATTTGTTCGTTGTGTCCGATGTGATTTGTCTGTACTGCCGTTGTGGCGTCCAGCGATAGACTTTACCATTTTCAACAGTCTCGACCATTGGCTCATGATAATGGCTACCATATTCTTGGCAAGCAACCTCAATGACTGCGAAGAAATATTATAAAAAGAGTTTAGACAATTTGGTTTGGTAAACATTTGTCGCTGCACTCACTAAAGTCGGCCGGATTATAAGTACGCGGACATGTCAGTCCTATATGCTTCATATAAGGCACAATATTGGCGCCCGCACCCTGATAAATACACTGTCCCTTGGCTAATATGTAGACCTTATCGAACATATCGAAGACTTTGGCAGATGGCGTGTGGATTGAGCAAATAACGGTACGACCCGTGCGATGCGCAATACTGCGCAGCAGTGAGATACATTGTGAACTAGAGATGTCATCGAGACCACTAGCAGAAGTTGGAATTATAAAAATATACAGCTCAAGCAGAATTTGCTTGTCAAATCACTTACGTGGTAGGCTCGTCGAGAAATATTACGGGTGGATTGTTCACCAGCTCCAGTGCG